TTGAATTTTGGTAGAATTATAAGCATTGAGCTTGAAGATCCTTAATTTTAAAAAGAAGGTAGTGCTCCTAAATCCCGCTTAAAATTCATTTTTATTCCAACTTTATGTCTTTGAGAATATTGATCATAATGAAAACGAATATTCTCTTAAGACATATAATGAGCAAGAAGAATCAATAATTACTCTTACTTTATCCTTGATGAGTCCACCACGTCGACAACAGATTTCCTCCTTCATTGCAGCCGTTTTTGAACACTTGTGAGATTCAACAGAAACAGATCAAAGAAATTCGAGAAAAGAGTTTTATATGTAATGAGAAGTTGAATAGTACATTAATGTTATAAATTGAGACAACAACAAACCATAAATGTAATGATATCTTGATATATAAGCTCGTGGTAATCTAAATATCTTAATAGTACCTAGGTTATCACATAGGAGCTATATATGGCGAGTAAATGAGACATTCTTGCTTCTCCATATGTTTGTTGAAGACTCAAGAGTGCTGCCTTAAAAAAATGGAAATGATTCATGAGAGGCTGAATATGGCAGGCAAAATATACAGAGACTCACATATTCATATTTACATGCGTAAATGCACATAGAAAAGAGCCATACCTGAAGAGAAAATTAATGAAAGCTTGTTCAAGTAAAAGAAATGTCCTTACATTTGCCACAAAAAATAGCTGTTTATCAATTAGAAAATTATAGGCAATGGCATATAAAAGAGAGTTGGGTTCCTCTTATTCCTCTACCTCTATAGCATGAGGGGTATCTAACAGCTGAGCCAGATAGGTGACTATCTCATCTCTCAACACATGATATTTTTTTTCATCCTCTGATTACATAGCTGGCATGCGTAACTATTAAATCAAGAGTAAAAGAAACATGTTTTGTGCTCAACCATCTTCAAGTTGGTGCCCTGCCAATAATACTTTTGGCCTTCAATTCCAGTACGTGTATAGATCACTCGGAACATATTAAGTATCCATCAAAATCAAAAGAAGAGTACGACCTGCATTTTTCTTTTGCTTTTCCTCATAGATGCTAAATACTCGCTTGAGAACATGTCTTGTTGTCTCGTTTCTGTCTCTCGCTTATGCAGTGACCCTTACCGAAAGATCTCTTGCGTTCAGCTCTGCTTCTGATTTGGTGATTTGGTCAGTGTCTATATAAGGCCTTGTTGCGTGATGATGCTCCTCAAATTGTAGTGATCCCTGTACATGAGAAAAAAGGATTTCATTACATAGATTAGACACAGATTTTGGAAGTGACAATCATATTTAGAGATAAAGTTTGATAAACAAATTGGATCAATCTAGAGATTAAGTTGAGTTGATGGGTGTTAAAAATGAGTGATCGGGAAGGCATGGGAGATGAGAAGAGGTTGAAACTGAAGAGATAGCGGGGATGTGAGATTAATTGTAATAGAATAACGTAGAGTTTCTATCAATTGGTTGATGAAAATCATTTTCACGAGAGGAGAAGCAGATGACGTGGCGTCTTTTCATGAAAGTTTTAAAAAGCTGATGTGAATAGGCTAAGGATCCCCAAATAACTGATTTTATATAGTATTTGGTTTCCCATTTTTTTCTATTGAAAAGGATAGAGATATAAAAAGTATTATATATTTAATATATTCTATAAAATATTAGAAGAGAAAAAGTATGCCGATTATTTTCTTAACAAAGAATTCACGATATTCTTTCAAAATGTGTTAGGGATCATATAACATAAATAAACTTCTAATTAAATAAATGAAGTGATCGTTCAAATAATAAACTTCTAAATATAGACCATAAATCCTAAATCCATGAAACGATCCACACACTAATCGACTAAAATGCTAGCTACCAGACAATAAATTTGTGAATAAATGAAGTGATCGTTCAAATAGCACAACTTGGTGCCTTGGTAAGGACAGACGCATATGCACAATGATAAAACGAGGATCGCTCTTATCCACTTATATAAACGGGAACGTTTTTTTGTTTGTGAAGAATTTACATGTTTTTTTTTTTGGGATCAAAGTGAATAATTTACATGTTAAAGCTCTCTTTTGTCCTCCTTACCAAACTTTGCTTCGGTTGAACTGATCCACCAGGTTAAAGCGGCTTCGCGTTATGAAACGCACCGCCAAGTTGGCATCTGCAGAAAACGTTGGCTGCGGAAACTAATCCATTGTTATGACTTATGACCCGTACGCCATAACCTATTTAGACGTCATTATCGTTTCATTAATTTGATGTGTCTCTAATAAAAAGGCCAACATAATTAGCGTTATATATCCAGACGTCAAACGTCAAACGCCAGAACGCCAGAACGCCACAAACTTTTTAAAATATTATTTTCTAGTTTTGCGGCTGGCAGATGACCCTACAAGCTCTAAACTCGCAGTTATCTACTACATTTTTTATTATTTGTTCGAGTGATCCACACAAATGATTTTACGTTATGGCCGTAAGTAGTAATACGGAGAATTTACAAACAGTATCTGAAATTTCTTCAAGCATCGTACGTACGTGGTTAAGCCAGGTTAGCCTTCAGGATGGGATGAAGCCAATCGGACTTCTAATAAAGTGATGCTGTTTGTATAAAAAAAGGTAATATCTGCACAACTTTCAAATTTTAAAACATATGTTCAACCGTCAATTTAATAAGAAAAATAAATAATAATAGCTAGAGAAATAATTTTTATGTGAGTTTTGATGAATTAGTAACCGTTAGTTTTCGGTTGAATATGATATATAGTGATAAACTTAATTTTCTAGGTTTATTTTTCGAAGATGTACAGAAACAAGTACAAAACAATTATCTCTCAAAACCATTATAAACTTGTGAGGTTGATTTATATTTTATTTAAGTTTTTGTGACTTTCAAAATTAGAGTTAAATTGAACTTTTATTTTTCATTTAAAATTGATGCAGGTCTATCATTTAAATGATGATTAACCAGTGGATGAAAGTGATACATATACCAACAAATCCAGGGTTTATATATCTAAAAGAATGTATATTGAAACGTAAGACATATACGTTTTTGGTTGATTTGATGCTAAATTATTGACTGAGATATTTCCAGTCTCCATGTCCTTGTGATGGTGTTGAGAACAAGGCATAATTAAAAACCAAGTTCTTATGTTCACACAAACCTTAGAGATAATTGGTTAATGATGAAAAACCTTTTGTGTGTGTTGTCTGGCAAAAATGAAGACATTTGATAAAGGGAAAGCTACGTTCTCGTACACCAAATTTTTAACCTATTTAGTGAGGAGACGAAAACTATATTGAAAACTTAATATGCTCAAGTAACTTAACTCTATTTAGTAAATAAGACATATTGGTAAGTTAGAATAAAAATAGTTTTTTTTTTGAACGAAGGGTTTTCATATAATAAAAATAGTTAGTGTCTAATAACCTGTAAGATAATAAGAAAATTGTTTTTTTTTTTATTAAAACATATATTCTACGACGGTAAAATGGAGTGAAAGATGCAAAGGAGTTAAGAAGATGAAACCAGCGTAGCTGCGTAGGTTTTCTCAAATGGAGAAAGAATGAGATAATACAATTTACGTGACTAAGAGCAGGTTCAGTGGGAGTTTGGAGAAAGAGTTCGGGCTCGGGTTTATAGGCAAAGTGGGTTTAAAAAAAACGAAATAAAGTTCATTATTGATGGATCGGTTCATCCGCGCGAGTTCGACCCATCTCTTAGCCATGTGTCACACTGCGATTGGAGGAGATATCGTGGTAATTTTCGGGAGAGGAAAATTTTTTGGGCAAAAAATTCATTTCGTGTTTCCCCTCTTTTCGTCTCCTCTCTTCCTCTTCACCTGCGATTCGCGACGACTCCGTCGAAATCGTTCAGACCGGCGTCAATTTGCGGTGGTTTTTTCATCCAATCGCCCATCCGTCTACATCGGCAAGGTTAGTATCTGTTCTTGCGATTTCGTTGATTTTTGTCCGATTTGAGTTTTAGGGTTTGCGATTTTTTTTGGAAGAAAATTTTGGTGCTCAATCGGGGTTTTTTTTTTGGGGATATAGGATTCAATACGAGATTTAGTGGCCTATTTGAAACTCATAATCGAATTTGTGAACGTTATTTGTATGATTTCAAAAAAAAAAAATTGAAAATATTACTATTGAAACTATAATTTTACTCGAAGTTCATCCCATACAAAGCAAACCAAAACCAAATATATTAATTTTAAAATCCAATGAATCCCATGGGAGGTTCACTACTGGACCTGCTCTAAATGTATTAGGGATCATAAATCCATCAATCCATGGAACAATCCAAACACAATCCGACTTATATAAAAAAGACCAAACAATAAACCTGTGAACAATAAAGTGGTAGTTCAAATTGCGCAACTTGATGGGGGGCATGAAAAGACAAGAAGATTAAAGAATGAGAGAGCGAGAGGTACGAAATGATAACGCGATCGGTCATTCTTATCCACTTATAAACGTGAACGTGTTTTTTGTGATCCATTTACACAGATCTCTCAAGCTCTTTTGTTTTCTTCTTCTCCTTACCAAATTTTGCTTCAGTGGATCCCTCCTTCCGCAATATTACTTTCTTACGATAATTTATAAGCCTCTCAATAAATGAAAAATATCTAAAATAGATATTCATTGTGAAGAGAATCTATACATCATAATCAACCTCAGAGCTACTCTGGTTCATTCACTTGACAATCTTCTTTATTAAATTATTAGAGTATTACAGTATATATTTTGTATAGGATTTAAAACATGTAAAGTCTATGGTTCTAAAATGCAATTAAAATATCTATTGATACACCGATAAAACTCTAATTAATCATGTATGTTTCCTAGTGAAAATATCATTTATTTCGTTTTGGTTTGGTTGAATGAAAATATATATCTTGGGTTTCTTACACAATTTGTTCTTAATCATCGTCTAGTATTCTCTACGATGATGCCTACAATGTATTTGTATAATTAATTAATGAAATGCATTTGTGTCAAAAGATAAAATAATAATAACACAATAGTGATTTTCATACGGTCTTAAATTCTTGACAGTCTGACATACAAAGGAGTATCTGTTAGTGTTTAAGGTAATGAAGTAATCCTACAATAACAGACTAAACCATTGCTCCTCAAATACACAGACGTCTAACGCCATCTCCTTCTATAGTAAAATATCAATTGATTACATTACAAATTACTTTTCGTAAAAAAAAAAACCTGAGAGAGGTATATAAAACGAAGAAGAGGAAGGTGGTTTTAGGCAGGTGAAGTAGAAGAGTAATTCATTCCAGTGGATTCTCCGGTCGACAAATCAAGAAGCATCTTCTTGTATGGCATAGCACTCATGAGCCTGCAACCAAAAACATCAATTCTTTTATACTTTAAACGTCTAATAGATCAAAGAACTCATGAAGCTTCTAAAACCAAAAAGACGAATATAATCTAACCTCTCTTTGCGCTTCTCCAAGAACCGAGCCAACGATGCTTTACGAGCTTGAGGAACTGAAGGAATCATATTGCCAGGTCCTGCATTGAATGATTCGATCATGCTCATTGCATTAGTCGCAGCGACGGTGTTGTTGTCCCTACACCTAGGGAAACTATGATCAGAGTTAGTGGCAGAGCTTGATGATGCAGCAGCAGCAACAACAACGTTATGGGTTTGTTTTCCATAGATTCTTTCAGCTTCCCCAAGCGGTTTCTTCAGGCTGCTCTCTCCATTTTCACCTCTCGGATTTCCCAAACCGTTCCCAGCACATAACATGATGGCTTGAGCCTGCCTCACAGATCACCATTAGTACCCTCAATCAGAACATGTTATATGTATACAGAACTATAACATATTAACATGTAACTGTAATGAATAGGATTATTATTATACCTTATCTGGAGATATGTCATTAAAGACGCTAACAGTTCCGGCATACAAGATAGTTAGCTGATGAGATGATCCTGAGGAAGCCACTCTGTTCCACAATCCCATAACCAAAATTAAACCCTATTCAACATTTCAAATGAAATCTATTTTTGACATTCTTTTCTTCATTCAGTTTAAGAAAGAAAAAAAAAAAAGTTAAACATTCTATTATCTACCTTCACAAAGTCAGGTTGATTTGAATTATTATTTTACATGGTTTTTGTTGGTCTAAATTATTTATTCTTAAAATTTTTATTTTACATCATTGTTTAGGCTTTACAAAAAAATATTCAAATTAACATTGGCATGACAAGATCGATATTACATTACCGTGGATCCGCGGGAGAATTGAAAGCAGGACGGAGAGAAGAGTGGTTTGTCAAGGGAACTGATCCGCCAAGTAAAAGCGGATTCGCGTTCTGAAACGCACCGCCAAGTTGGCCTCTACGATAAACGCTGCTGGCCGTGGAAACTGACCCCCATTGGTATGACCCGGGAAACGCCTTTGCCTCCTGACACGTCAAACATCTTTTCATTAATTCTGTCGCTCTAACTAAGTGCCAATATAAAAATATATATAATATGCCAACATAGGCGTTATCAAAACGCCAAACGCCAGACGCCACAAGTTTTTTTAAATTATTTCGAGTTTTGCGGCTGGCACACGACCCTACAAGCTCTAAACTCACACAGTTTATCTACCACAACTATTATTATTTGTCCGTCAGTTAACAGATTGGCCACACAAGATTAAGAGAGATAAAATCAAATTTCCGGTAATAATCCGATTAGATTAGCCATAAACAACAAGAATTGTTCTCAGATTAGTGAAAATTCTGTACTCAATTAGTGATTAAAAGAAGTAGAATTTTAAGTTGAACCAACCTGGAAATCTGCAGCAGCAGGCATGAAATTTGAATTAAAAAAGAGCTTTCCCTTTCCCCATTGTCTAGCTACCTTCTTGCTCAAACCTGAAGTATTCATTTTTATTGACATCAAATTAGTGATCTTTGACTACTTTATCAGATCCAATTCTCACTTTGATGCATATTTTGATGGAGTATTAGTAATGGTTTCAAAAAAGAAAAAAAAAATATACTTTTAATAACCTGCTTTATTAAATTAGTCTCTTTTTAATTTATACATTAAAAGCCTCTGTACAAGTAGAGAGACAAGAACACAAACCTCGTTCTCCGACACCATCATCGTTAACCTCGCGCTTCACATCACCCAGATATTGCTTGTCGCTCATACCCAGAAAATCTCTTTCCATCTCAATCCAAAATCAACGAATACACAAATTACTGCTCTGTTTGTGCCCCAAACATTTAATTTATAAACCAATAAACAAACCAAACAGAACAAAGTAGTGGGAATCCACAAGGGAAGGTTTCGTTTTGGTAATGTTGCAGACACACTTTTGGAGAGGCTGATTAAAAAAAAAAACGCTTTGCTTTCTGGGTTTTTAAAGGCTTGCTTGATTTAAAACCCATGTGGGGCTTTTTTCAACCGGGAAAAACGGTTGGTGCTACCGGCTTGACCGGTTAATTCCCACGTGTTTTTATTTTCTTTTCTCCTCTTGGTATTTTGTGCTTTTTGGAGACCGTAGACATCTGTCGGTGGATCTGATTTATTACATTATTTTTTTTTAATATAATAGGAGAGGATTGAATTAGCTATTGGATATTTTTATACGTGATCTATTTATCACATGTGAAAGGTGTGTGGTGCCGTTTCTATTGCAACGGTTGATATTTATCACATCATTTTCTTTTTCTTTGAAAAGTAATACAGTATTCGACGACAATAATAAAAATGATGAGGCCAGTGGCGAGACCCTTTTTGGTAGAGGCGAAGTGTCACTTCTTGGGTTACAATAGGTCAATAGCCATTACGAACATGCTTAATGGGCTTAGATAAATTTCCTAATTGCCCATTAGTATGTTTTTGGCCCAACTAAAACATCTGTCCACAAGACTAGCTGTCTATGAAAGTTTTTTCTTTCGAGATTTGACCAACTAAAAAATTTTCTTTAGACCGAAGATACTTTTTTAATGATCAGATAAATACAAGACGTTAAAAGAAAAAATCAGTTAAATACCCATTTTCAAGATAGAAGCTTTGATATCAGACCAAACCTTAATGAATTTTGTCAATTTCAAAATAATCTAGTTTTCTTATAATGAAATCATACCATAAGATAGGTTTGACAAAAAATAATGTTATATGAAAATAGTATTAAAATACCCCTGGAGAATACTGTTTACTTCAAGATTTTCAAATATATTTACGTCATTTATTTATTACTAGTGTATAAAAGAAGAACCTAGAGTTCCTAGCTAGTTATTGCACTCTATCATATAGAATTTCAGAAGACTATAAAAAGATGGAAAAGAGTTAGACGTTAGTTGGTCTGTCAAATTCTTAAAATATTTGGTAATAGGCTCAAAATTTTGATTTGCGAATTTTAATGATTAAAAAGCAGATTACGCCAAGTCTTCAATTGAATTCTTTAGACTGTACTGAGAAAATAAAGAATGATGAGTAAGACGAAAAGATTCGGAGAGACATTCAGTATAGGACGAGCAAAATGATTTTGTTTTGGATCTCCATCCTAATTTTCGGTTTACTATATATGTTTTTTTTTTTTTGAACATATTTACTATATATGTTCCATTATTCTCGACACATTCATTTAATTTTAACACATTCCCTGTGTGTGTTTACGCACACATGTGTCTTAATAAACGAAGATTAAATGAAATGGTATTTATAGATACCAATCGAAAGCATCATTTCACATCCAAATAGAAGATAAGAAGGAAGTTTCCGTAAAAAATTTTCATTTAAATCGCTTTGACCTAAATAAGTCCGACAATAATACCTAAATCGAGTCGAAAAGACAATCATATAAATACTATACTATTATATAACTACAATCTTATGAGGCAGCGAGTTACCAAAAATTAAATTACAAAAATACAACTATCAATAAGTTGACTCGAGTTGTTGATTGATCTCTTTCCCAGTTTGTCCTTTATACACACCATTTCTCATCTGCAAATTCATAAACATATAGTAATTTAGATTTTGATATTGATAGAGTTAAGAAAATCAAAGTTAAAATAAAAAACTATACCTTGTAATTTTCTACATTGCTTTCCAAGAAAAGCAAGAAACACGACGAGCAAGATGACTAAGGTGATGATTCCAATCATTATCGCCAGTGTTTTCCCGATTCCGTCATTATCTTTATCGTCTTTCTCTCCTCCTGCTAAATAACCCAACTGTTGTTATTATTTGTTTATTTTTGTGATGACGATTTTTTTAAAAATCAATTCTAACTAAAATAAATAAAAGAAGGCTGACCAAAGTTTTGGTTTGGGTTCTGACGCGCGTGACTACCACCGAAGCTGAAACGCGCGTAACACTTGTACAAGTAAACATATCCACCCTGAGCCATTCCACAGTTCGATCTGAGCCGTCCGATCGCATCAGCCAAGCAATCCTGACACTGAGCTGCACTTAGATCCCCCATGCACTGCGCCACACCCTTCACTTCCCCGTTCCCACCAATCCTGTAAGGCCCATCTCCGGAGCCCAAAGAACCGATGACGTCACCGACTCTGGTCAACGCGTCCTGGTCGTCAAAACCCATCAACTGTCCACATTTCTCGAGCACCAACGTTTTGTTCTGAACGCCAAAGAACGGACTATTATCGTACCGGACCAGACAGTTTTCCATCTGCAAGAACACCGAGTACGCGTTGGGACATGTGTTTCCGACCAGTGCAATGGCGCGTGACACGCAAGATGAGCAAGAAGTCTGGTCTAGGTCTCCACGACACTGGAAAAGACCGTATACGGTGGTGGCCGGTTCGGGTTTTGCGCTGCCGCCGGAGGGAACGGTGAGGTTGTTGTAGGGGCTGTTAACGGTGGCGGTGGCTAGGGAAGAGAGGAGGGTGTTGAGGTTGGTTTCGAAGGGGAAGCCAGGGGAGAATTTGGCCGGAGAGCAAACGGCGTATATGTACGTGTCTGTGGCGGCGGAGGAAGTTGGGGTGTTTGTTGCGACGGAGGAACTTAGGATGATGGCGGCGATAACGAAGCAGAGAAGGGTCGTTCTTATGTTGAACATGTTGGGATCCGATGCGTGGGACACAAAGCCGGAAATGTTTTGGGAGAGATATTTGGTAAAAATAGAAGTTGAGGAACGAAAGAGTTTGCTTTAAAGAGAATTAACGTAAAGAAGGGAGTAACTTATATATGTTGTTTTCCATGTTGCATGCTTTTTTTATTTTTATTTTTGGTGGACGTTTTTAGGAGACTTTCAACAATTTGCAACTATTCCATATTATTGAAATTACTAAAACACAGCAACTCTTTCTCCGTTCAGACTTATATTACTTGATTATTGCTTTATTGTGGAATTTGGAAATGTGCGTTTATTATAATGTCCATTACGATTTCCTTGTGACATGTACATAGTTTTACTCATTTGGATTCAAAATTTTGACTTTGACAGCAGTGACTTGTGTGAATGGATTCGTTAGCTTCTACCGTTATTAGTTACTAAGTATGACCCCTTTTCTATAAGCCACTAATTAAAAAAGGCAAAAAGTGAGGTTGTTTCTTATAGTATATATGGACTATGGTCGTCTGTTGTGGAATTTGAGTGCGTATAGAACAGCAAGATTGGTGAATTTCCGAGAAATTGATACAAATATTAACTTATTGACATGTATATATTGTTTGCATTCCACTTGGTCTCTTTCTCTCTCTCTCAGTCGGTTTCATATTACAAGATGATAGTAGAAGCTTATATAGCATTATGTGTAGAATCATATATACAATGGCCATCTTGTGTTTCTTGGTTACAAAATCAATATGAATATTAATAATGCCAAGTAATGAACGGCTATACGTCATGAAAACGAGTTATGGTTATTATATATAGTATTGCGTATAGAGTTCGGATAGGCAATGGTACCTGAAAGTGATTTAGGAAGATGTAAATTAATTAGATGGAAAGGGATCTTGGCGTGTTGGTCGAGGTACATATGTATCATCTTTTATTTTTATTTTTTTATATATACGATGTGAGCATTGTTAAATTGGGACCGATGGAAGCATGTTCTAGCCACCAAAAGGCACTTTTGTAATTAAACTTTCTTCTGCAAAATTCACATTCACATAAAGAAAAAGAGATAAACCACTCATTAAGAAAGCTTCCAACGTCAAAGTTTAGTTACGGAACCGGTAAATGCATAGAGAAGACAAAAATGTTCGTTGACCTTCTTTTGTGTAGTTCTTTAAAACTAGACTTTTTTCTTTGGCTATAGATTGTTATAGAATTTTGTTACTTCTTTAACTTTTTGTTTGAACTTGAAATATATTATATATGTAAAAAAAGAAAAATCCATTTAGTAGCATTTGTAAACGACGGCTACACGAAAATTATTGTTATATATATTCTAATTTAAGTCTTAAAAATTAATTTGTTGTAAAACTTATTTTGATGTTAATATACATGTAATTGTATTATTATTAACATATCTTGAGTATTCAGAGCTGGTGTTGACATGTGCTATATATGACACTTACCTTGGGTTCGACGAAGCTCCGCTAGTGGTGTTAGAAGTTTTCTTTAGTCAAAGAAAAAGTTGTTATTAACTATAGGACAGTAACATAACTAATCTCATCGTTCATGTTCCAATTACCAAAACATTACATCATATAGGGACTGCGAGCTAAGCTTGAGATGTCCAAAGTGAGTTGTAATTCTCTTATCTTTCTTGTTTTGATCAATTAAGTACACCATGCTTATAGTGTTTTTCACACATGTTGGTACATAAACTATATAAGGAAGCATTTATGATACCATATGGACGTTACTATAATCACTAATGAAACAATGACATAATTTAGCAAAACAACGTAATCATTTTGTCGATAAGGGATCTTTTCGATTTAGTTATGAAGTTGAAACCATAACCAACTAATTAAGATGAAATAATTGAGAGCAGAAAGTTCCGGTAACTGCATCATGGTGGGTTTGATCAATCATATTACTTTTCAAAATATTATTTTCATCACTTAACATAAGAATAAAAATGACAGATTAACTAGAAGTTGTACGTATCATTTTCTCACTAACGAAAATGGGCCTACCAAAAGGGAAAGAGACATTAAATGTATATATATTTACTTCTCAATTTACCTAGACCAAGCTGCATGTATACAAAGTTCATAACCCGATTGCTAATTTTAACGGTAGTGCTTAATAAATACAGTTTTTTGTCTTCCATGGTGGGTGGATCTGTATCATTCCGATACAGAAAAGTATAGAAGTAGGACGAATTTAATTAATGCAGAGATTAGGGAAATTTGGTGAGTAATTTCGTGCTTGACTTGTAATAAGTCAATGGTCTTATTCTTGAAAATATTAAAAATAATTCGTTTTGCGGAGTCCACAAATTTTCTTGAATTTTGATTAACCTAATACGGTTGACTCGCTCGTCAATTCCAAAAGGAAGACGTTTCTTGGAATTTTTTTGGAAATCTTTCAAAAATGAAATTAATGGAGACATCCAATATAAGTACCTTTCAAGGCTATAACTAATACAATTGAAAGGACTTTGATCTGGCTATTGTTTGATTTAAGACAATCTCTTCTTACAAATCATAATTAGGATCGTCTTGTTTGCATTCAAAAAAATCGTTTCAGTTTAGAGCCTAGAGATAATATGGACCAATCATGATATTTCATTAACAAGAATGTAAAAGTTATATTACAGAATGACAAGATCAATTTCCCTCTGTTTTACTTTTCTTCTTCTCAAAGTCTGCCTATCTTCACATGAATGTGTTCAACACAATTCAGATATAATTATAGATTTTCATCTTTTTCTCTTCTTACGCATCAATGATTGGATTTGTTTACAAGTGTAACATGTTGTATTGATTCTGACTCGAGTAACAAGCCGAGCATATCGTATATAGACTAGCTATATCATATTCTGAAAGTGTAATAAGCAAAAAGGGTGTTTATAAAGATTAATCAGTGCAATATCTGAAAGTATATTAGTTGTGGTTATGGATAAGACAGCATTTGTCAGCATCTATTTATTTTAAGGAATAAAGGGATTTAAAATTCACCCACCCTATCACGGACTGTCCCTTTGAACAAAAGTTTTTTTTCTGTATAAAAAGGGAACTAAAAGAATGTAACATTACACTTTGACCAAAAAAAAAAAAAAAGAATGTAACATTACACATGCTAAGATTGGACACCACAATAAGCATATGTCTCTGTTCATGTGTCTTCTTTTCTACTTTCATGTTTCAAAATTTTTGATGCGTACAATAGTTTCATATTCTATAATCATAATTGTTGTATCATTCCAGTTTTATTAGATTTCCCACAAGATACATGCTTTTTTTTTCCTTTGCTCTGTTCAAATCATTCATCGGCTATAACCTTATCCCGAGCGAGTAGATGTTATAGCACACTGCACACACATAGAGTTCCACAGTGTTAAGGAACAGTAAGTTGTTAGCATTGGGCCATTGGCCTGCTCCCATTTTCTGAAACTAACAAATTCTTTGAGTTGGGCCTGTTACTTAAAACAACAGAAAATATGGGCTTCAAATCATTTAATTTCTTACACTAACCCAATTATATATCGACAAAGGCCACCTTTATCAGATATTTTATTTTGTCGTAATTAGGGGTTTGCTCATAAACCCTAGTTTCTTCTACCTTCCCCCAAATTTTGATTTTTGCCATTTTGGGTCTGACGAGTTGGTAAATGGAGTCGAACACTCATCGATTTTCACCAACACAAGAATCCATGTGTCACTGAACATTTGTAAGTTTTGGAGAAATTTTGGAGATTTTTTTTTTCTGTCGAGCTTGAATCGTTTCCAACATTTGGTAACCCTCATTGCGTTCTCATGTATACTACTCTGACACTCCATGGAAGAAGGTCTCTCGTGTTACAGAAATGGCATAATTTGAGAGGTTCATTGCAAAATGTATTCTTTGCTTTTTCCAGTTCCGCTAGTGCTGATGTTGTGAGACCTAGAGATGATGATCGAAAAGGTAACAACTTTACAGTCTCTTACCTCGTTGATTCGTTGGGTTTAACTAGGAAACTCGCGGAATCGATCTCGAAGAAAGTCAGCTCCGAGGGCAAGGCTAATCCTGATTCTGTTCTGTCTCTTCTTAAAAGTTATGGTTTCACAGAATCTCAGATCTCCAGCATCGTTAGTAGCTATCCACGGTTGTTTATATTAGATGCTGAGAAATCTATTGGTCCCAAGCTTCAGTTTCTGCAGTCCAGAGGAGCTTCAACCTCCGAGCTCACTGAGATCGTTTCTAAAGTCCCTAAGATCTTGGGAGTGAGATGGCAGAAAGCAATCAGCAGACACTACGATTTCGTTAAAGACATCATAGAAGCGGATAAGTGTTCCAAAAGGTCTTTTCAGTCTTCTTTGCCATTGCCACAGGCTAATAAGCTCAGGAATGTATTGGTTTTGAGAGACTTGGGCGTGCCTCAGAAGCTTTTGTTCTCTATGCTCATCTCCGATAACCGTGCCTGCTATGGAAAAGAAAGATTTGAAGACTCCCTCAACAAGGTTCTTGACTTGGGGTTTGATCCTAAAACCTTAATGTTTGTCGAGGCTCTACACGTTGTTTACCAAATGAGCGACAAGACGATTGAAGATAAAGTCAACGTCTATAAAAGGTTAGGCTTTGAGGTAGAAGATGTATGGGCAATGTTCAAGAAGTGGCCAAAGTTTCTGACACACTCGGAGCAGAAGATAGTGGACACCATGGAAACGTTTCTGGGCCTAGGATTCAGCAGAGATGAGTTTGCTATGATGGCCAAGCGCTTTCCTCAGTGCCTTGGATGTTCTTCAGTGACGTTGAAGAAGAAGACTGAGTTTGTGGTGAAGAAGATGAATTGGTCACTAAAGGCTGTAACTTCAAATCCTGCGGTGTTTGGATACAATTTTGAGAAGAGGATTGTACCAAGGTGTAACGTGATCAAAACTCTCATGTCCAAAGGATTGATGAAAAGTGAGCTCCCTCCAATGTCACATGTGTTGGCAGTTACCGATGAAGCTTTCTTGAACAAGTTTGTGAGGAAGCTTGATGACAAGGAGATTGTGGCTGACTTGATGGCTATCTTAACCGGTGGTCGAGTCTCATAAGCTCATAAGCCTTGTCAAAGTGTTTTTCCTTTTTTGTTTCTGTTAGTTTTAGATTCGTTGATGAATCTCTTGATACTGACATGGGGAGTGAAAAGTGCAGAGGAATGAGTTGACGACCAAAAATACTTGTTTGTCTTCAATTTGAATTATGTAAACCATTTATTGGAAACAATATATAAGCACACAATTAATCACATACACGAAATAATTTAACACATTGCAATCTTCACACCATTGTTCACTATAACATTGAAGTAGTATAGGTTTTTTATAAAGAAAAAGATAGATTCACAAGCATATAATAAGAGTTTGTTTTAGATGGGGTTTTTATGGATGTTTCTTAGAAGCTCTTTGTTTCTCGAGTTTCTCGAGTTTCTCGAAAAGAGAACCATCGTAGACAGCTCTCACTGTATCTTTGTGCAACAAACCGTTCTTGTCTTTGCACAAATAATGCAATATTTTCCACTCCGTAAATGCTGCAAACCTGCATTTTAAAAAAAAAAAAATATTGTTCAGATTCATATTAATCACGTTTTGGGTTTTGGATTTTGGTGTATAGAGAGCAAACTAATTAAACCGAATTGGTTCGATACTTACGCTCCTTTACGATCATTAGCTTCTTTGTTTGCGTTAAGGAGTTCTTTGAGTTCCTCGTTGGTCAAAGCATCGGGATGTGTCTTTGAATGCTTCGCAAATATCTCCTCGAATTTCGATTCCACAAACCTCCAAAAATTTCATAAGAAAACAAACAACATCATTTTTTCTTGTCGTCAAAAACAAACAACATATAATTTTTTTAAGAAATACTGTACTACTACTATATAAGTTAATTAAACAGAGAAATTTATCACAAAGTGTGTAATTTTTATTGAATAGGTAAAAGAAAAAAAAAAAAGAAAAAGGAAAAAACCTTCCATCTGTATCGTAAACGCCTGAATCGCTGGTATGTTTGGCAAGATGGATATTCTTAACCTCTATCGGAAAAGAGAACGAGAAACCCTTTCCCTGCGAATCAAACACACATCATCATTAATTGATTCTTTTTTCTTTTGTACATTGATTCTTGTTTCTTTTGTACAATGAAAAAATTAGGTAAAATTAAAACTGCATCAATATCAATATTTAGATTGAACTATAACAATGTTCTAATCATCAAATTACCGGACGAGTTTTGCTGCTTAAACCCATGTTGATGAACAGAGAAGCGGCTCCCGACAAGAGATATCCACATCCGATTGCTCTAAATCCTGTTCTTGTTTTGTTTTGTTTTGTTTTCGACAGTAAAAGTAAGTAGAAAATATCAAAGATCATACTTTTGATTATTAACTGATATACGAGACATAAGTTAAGAGCCACACACGTATACAGATTACGAAAAGATCTCTAAGTAACACAAATCTAATTTTAGATATTACGAGATTAATTAAGACATTTTTGGTGGAACTAGAGAATCTTTGAAAACCGTACCTTGAAATGTCTCTGAGGGATAAACGATGCCATCTTTGTTCCTGTCGAAGAAGGCAACATGTCTCTGCAAGAAATTATCTTCTTCTGGAACAAATTTAGCTCCTAAACACACACAGCCCAAAACGTTTAAGATCGATCTTATGATACCTAATTAGTAACTATCAAGGGGAATGTAAAAAAGAGTACCAATGGCAGTGGATGCAGCGGACACAGAGGAAACAGAGGAAGCCATGATCAGAGAGAGAGAGAGAGAAAGAGAGATGGTAACAGAACAAAATGAAAAGTGAAAAGAGAAGGCGAAACACACGCTTCTTTTATCTTCAGATAAAAAAATAAAGAAATGTTCGTTATGTTATTGTATGATAATAATGTAATCAGAGATTCGATTCGATATGTATTTTTCTTGTTTCGAATTATGATTTTATACGAAAACAAGAAAAGGAGTGGGAAGCGTCAGGCATTTATTACTGGTACATTATTAAGTATTTACAGCTATATATAGCTCATTGAGTTTTTATTTGACTTCCTTAATCCTCATGAATGTTTAATTAACAACTCGCTGTGTGCTTACCCTTAACTTTTATTTTTGGTTTTAGCATCACCTTTGATTTTTTTTTTATTATTTTAATAATCTACCGACTTGATAATTGTACTTTCCATGTTTTTTCTATTAATTGAAAAGTTTACAGGTTTTGTCCGTCTCGCATAGCCGACGGCAATTGTTTTAAAACGGAAGAATGCAACACGTAGAAGCTTTAAATTCGTGCTTTATATTACTTATCGGCAAAGGAGACCAAATTACTGATGCAAATCTGGTGGATAATTATGAAAATGTTAAAAATATCTCTGGAGAATATAATCCTATCTTTTGTCGTTGAGTTGTGGTTCCTCAACTGTTTACTTTGTAAACTCTATTTAATTTAGTCGACCAAGTCCTTCTAGGAAAATCTGGTGGCGAAAGAGATTAAATTAATGGATTTTTGGAAGACAAATTATTTAGGGTATACACAGGTGTGTTTTCTTAGGTTAAATATTATTGTTTTAATCACTTTCTATGTTTCTTTATAAAGCTTAAAAACCTAAATTATTGTGTTCTTGACCAATATCGATGACTCAGCTCCGCGTTATTATGCAGACAAGCAAAGGCTACTACAGTACAGCTACGAAAACTTAATCCTACTTTGTTAGTGACTATAAATATGACAATGCCTATGGACTAAAATTTCAAATAATGTTGTTGTTTGAATGTGCTAGTCTTTTTAGCAATAATCTGAGTACATTTTGTCAGTGAATTAAAAATGATAAAATATGGATAAGATGTGAATGGTTTTCATGTCCACCGATTGGACTTACTAAACAGTTACTAGTATTTTGAAAAATAGACTTGAGGTTTGATCTGAATAAAAAAAAAAACTATTCTCGATGGAAAATGTTTTTAAGGATTGGTACCTTTAAGAAACGGTATCAACATTCACACGCATTGGAAGAGTGCAACAACAAAAGTGATCATCATTGCGTAAAGCTGAGTGAAACAGATTCCTTATGCTTTTATCTCTCTCTTGTCTTGTCCAAAGCCAAAGACTGGTGATGAGAACGCTACAACTTCTTCTCCACATTCACACTTGGTATAGATCGTTTGCTTCCACAAATTACCAAAAACATTCCCTTTTATAATATAATCCAAAACCCTTTGTAACTTTTCTAAACTTTTGTTATTACACTATTATTCTTTTAAGAAAAAGAAAGGAAAACACATCATTTCAGCGCTTAACATATGCTGTAAATGGTAAACTGTTAGTTACTGAATTGCCTAATCTATCAACTGAAATAGTTGAAAAGGAAAAAAAAAAGACAAAAAAGTTGAATCTTCAGTTGGCTAAATTTAGAGTTGGATTGGATATGCCGTAAATAATTGTCTTCATGCTGGACAGCTTAAGCCAGATTCCACCGTAAATATTAAGGCTGTGAATGGTAAATTTCGTAGAGTAAAAGTAAGGGGAAAAAAACCATTATCTAGAATATAAGTAGTAGCATAAAACTTTCCTCTTCTATTATCCAGAGTAAAAACTTACCCTACATTTTCACTGTTCTTTCCTTTTTCTGCTAAAAAATATTTTTACTAGTTTTCACTAAAATGGAGAAATAAGAACTGAATTGAGAGTAAACCAAATGCTGCTCTTTTTCTTCTCTCTAATACAAACATTAAAAAACTCCTGAATTATTGCCGCCGTGACTGGAAATTTTGATTTAGCTCCTGAATCTGAGCTTCAGTCTACTAGTACGTTTGTTGTCTGGTACGATTACTTCAAAATGTTGGGTTCTTGTGCATCTACAGTTACATGACTTTAACAAACATCTTTTTTAATTCTGCAAAGCAAATTGCTTTCCCACACATCAACTTTTGCTTTATAGATGTGTTAGACCACCTCTATCAGGATCTCGTACCCATTTTTCGGTCCAGTTTCCTAGGCAAAATCGATTAAATTTAAATGAAAAGTTCAAAAATTTTGAAATAACCGATCCTTAGCTAAAGGGTGTAGGAGACAGGAAACAGTCTCTTTAGCGACGTGGAGCAAGGTGATTGGTCTTTTAATTATAATTTTGTAATTGTTTAATAAATTTTTTATTTTGGAAATTCATGAGAAAATAATCTCGACTGACTTCTTTCTTTTTTTCTCTCTACGACGATGTTGAAATCGCCCTTCAAACTCCTCCAACTTACGCCTCTGCCATCGTCTCGCAGTTATCTTCGTCGTTCTCTATCTCCTGCACAATCGCAAAGGACCCAGCTGTTCGCATGCGGAGACGGAGAAGACAAAGGCCGCTGGATCTGATTCAACCCTGTGGCAACGACCCGATTCGTTCGGTCGGTTCGGGAAGTACGTCCCTCTCAGAACCATACCGGTGCTCACAAGATCAACAATGCGGTGTCTCAAACTCTTCTCGCCAAGCGTTTAGGAAAGAAGAGGATTATCGCAGAGACAAAAACTGGGATAAAAGATAAATACTTTTGTCATCAATGTGAGATTAAATTTTTAAAAAAAAATTCTAAAGAGATCCAATAAAGGATTCACTAACGCGGAGAACAAAAAAACAGGAGTCTTTTAACTCAAATCAACTCTTCAACAAAATTAATAAAAAATTCCTAAGAAATTCATACTGAGTTACACTAATGGAGCTGCTCTAAAGGCTCTTCTCTTGATGCTCTCTTTGGCTCCTTTTTTCCTTTCAGATTGGGCCGTACACAAGTTACACACACAAAGGTGAAAAACGACGAGCAAAAAGAAATGGAGAAGAAGAGTTGAAGTTTATAAAGAAAAGAAACGCACCAGTTTTGGTGGATATATTCTCAAACATTACATAATACATTATCAATTAGGCCTGTAGAAGAAGGCAGGAAATCTCAAAGCGTTTTAAAATGATGTTTATATATACACTGTTTCGTCTCTTTAATTCTTACAAATTCCTCAGTTTTTTTACCTCCTTTCACCTTCACATCACACAACATTTCACCACTAGTCCCTTTGGGTCTGTTCTCCCTTCCTCATTACCTGGTGAGACATTCGGTTTCATTCAGTAAAGCTAGGAAGTAGAATTGGTCTCTTTGCTCAGAACCAAAAACACTGTGACTAATCCGGCTAGTGGAGAACTAATTTTATCTAATGAAAGATTTTAAAACTTGAAGAAAGTTTACCTTCCAAGGGTTGAGCTAACTTGCGGTTCTGAGGTGACATCATTTCCTTTTTAAGCTGAATCAGTAAATCCTCCATTGTGTATTCTCTTCTCCAGTTGGAGAGCATAGTGAAGTGACTCGGTTCAACCTGATCGTTCAGTTTTGACCCAGCTTTTGTTAAAAAACAAAACTTTAAAAACTATGTATGTAGCTGAATATTTTGCATAACAAGATCTCATTATCATTAATCTCATAATGAATAATGTTGTTGTTATAGCTTACCACTCCATTTTCAGGGTTGACGCAAGCCATGTTTATCCGAGTCTGGAATCTAACAGTAGGTGGACTTTCTGGGTAATCCTCGCCACAGAAAAGCTTCAGCTGGAATATTTTCCCATCATAGGCAGTCTGATAATTTCCATAAAACATTCAATCTTCTTAGATGCCAAAAGTGGAACACAAAGTATTTTCCTTTTATCTCTACTCATTTCACCAAAATTGGTAAATGCTCCATACGTTTAAACACAGCTAAGGATCATCAGCAAATATAGTCACAGCAAGTAGCAGAAACTTATATCTAGTCTGAATTAAGGAGCATTAAAAAGTTCTCTTGTTGTTTCTAGCATACAAAATTGCTTCTTCTTAAATCTACCACAAATGATGTTATAACCAGGTTATTAGATGCAGAGAAGGAGAAGGAAATAGTACATTATGAGGGCCGATAATGGTGCCAGTCCAAGATTGCATCAAAATATCGTCAGCATCATCCATTCCATAGCTCACTGTCCCATCTCCGATTCCTTTCTCACCTCTTTCAAGCTCTTCCAGCAATCTAAAGTTCCTGGGAACTGCAAAAACAAAAACCAAACAAAAGTGAGGGATTTGTCTCGCGTACTCTCCCAAAATCATGTCCAGATCACAAAAATCAATATCTTCGAAAATCAATATGATCCAGCGATATACAGCGACTTCGGAATCAGATCATTACTTTCATTAAAACCTTTGAAAGCAGAGAAAACAAAAAAAAGGTCAACACAAAACCCTAGATTCCAAATCAAACAAGCTAATCGAATAAAAAGAAAAAAAAAACTGAAGGAATTGGACTTACCCACGACCTTCTCTTCCTCCGAACCCATCACCTGAGATTGTAGTCAAATTTTCAGGTAGTATCTCAAGGCTTCGGCGAGAGAATAGAGAAGAAGAAATCGGATACAGAGAAGAGAGAAGAGAGAGAGTCTAACTACTGTTCATAAGAAGGATGTGAATGAGAAAAATAATGGAAGAAAAAACTTAAAGAAAAATGAGAGAGAGAGAGTTGGTCAAGTGCGTGTAATCTCACGGTAGTTAATTTGCAACCTTACCTTTTTGCCCCACCTCCAACAATATATGTATTTTTATTACCTTCAAGATTATTTAAAATCAATAATGGTTATTTAGGAATATTTCCTCTCAACACGTGTGATATCTACTAGTGACATGCCTCATTATTAAATCAAAGAAAAATCAGTTTAAGACAAATAATTGACACAAAAAGGTATAATAAGCATTTCTTTATATATTTCGGATAAGAAAAATATAAATTAGTAGTAGTGTCACTTCTCCTCCTCTATGGTAGACGTCTAATGGCCACTAAATTTGAATTACAACTAAAAATTATCAAACGCAAACGCGATTCAGCATTGGCGTCCAACGTTTCAGATTTTCACCGCAAAAAAATCAAACCATTCAAAGAAAAAGAAGACAGTAGAACCAAATAGATTGTATCTTAGTTTGAGACAAACCAATCATCCATCTCTCCATCAACACTACTGTTACCAAGAAGCTCAATCTTTCTCCGATCATAACATCTTCTTGACTCTGTTTCCTCCTCCTTATCGTCTTCTTTTTTCTTTACAGTCCCATTGCTTCTCATCCTCTGTTTCATCTCCAACTTCCACTGCTCTCTCTTTTCTGCACTCCTTGAAACACTACTTCTCCCTCCTTCCACTGGGAATCTCATGAAGCCATCTTCTTCTTCTTCTTCGTCTACATTGAATCGTTTTCCACTCTCTTCTTCTACAAAATTCCACGTCTTTGAAACTCCGCTGTTACGATCACCAACCCTCTTTGAATCCGGTGTGACGTTTGCAGCCTTTTGTCTCTTGTGATCACACTTCAAACATATCGAGTTTCTTCTAAAATTGATGTAATTGCACCTGATGATGTATAAAAAAACGTTATTAATTTCCAACAAGGAACGCTAGATTAAACTTTCTTTGGCTTGCATCAGATTTAAGGGTTTAGGGATGGATGATGATGACTCACGACTCGCATTCCCACTCTCCCGGATTGATTTGACGCATTGAAGGCTTGTCTTTGCACCTTAAGCAGCTCGTGTTTTTTGCAAAGTTCAGGAAATTGCATCTGCGGCAATAAATGGGAGGAAGTTCAGGGTTTCATGACTTTTATTGCAGCTTAAAAAGTGACTGATGAAACTGTAAAAGATGCTCTCACGTTTGGCATATCCAATCTCCTTTCTTCAGAGGGAGATGATCTTTCTGTTCTTGCTTCAACTGTTTCAGCCTTTCCTCAGAAAAGACATCACACCGCAAGCATCTTATGTTTTTCCCAAAATTCAAGAATTTGCATCTGCCAAAATAAGAATGGTTCCATAACGAAAAGAGAATCCAAATATTAACCATCATCGAAATCAAATCATAGTTTTGTCGACAATGCATTAAGATTACTCACTCTGTACAGTGCCAATCTCCTGGCCTTTTTCGAGGGTCTCTCTCATCACTGTCCTGTGAATTTGCCTGGAGCTCATCTCGAGCTATCTCGGTCTCAGAAGATTCAACATCATTTAAGCTATACTCTACGCTTTCTCTCAGCAGATTTCTCACAGCATCTTCAACAAGTTTGGTTTGACAAGCACGGTTCTCCACAGAGGGAGAAATAGAATCAAGCCCGTAAGTTAGCAGTACGCGCATGACATCTATAGTCCGAGCACCTTCCTCTTCCCGTGCTTGCGCATACGCCCTTTCACATTTACCCCTCAAGTTGCAAGAGCCACACACCTACTAAGTAAATGTTCAAGCTTGGTGAAGTAAGCTTCAAATGAAATCTCAGGAAAACAAATAGATGACGCAATGTAATTACGTAATCGACTTTATACAAAATGAGAAGAATGAGGAAGGCATACATTTCCTTCATCAATGCCCACATAAGCTCTTAGACGTTTCCCTGAGTTGACGACCTTCCTGTCAGTGCTAGCACATCCACACCCAGCAATCACTTTGATATCTTTCTTTGACAAGTATCTGTAAGGAAACAAAAATTCCTGTAAATTCCCACCAATTTCAACTAAAAGAGAGTGTTTTAGAAAATTATTGGATCATTAGTTTCCTGAAGATGTTGAATCACAGGTTAATTGGAAAAAGTAATGCAGGACCTGAGAAAAACGAGCTAAATGTTCTATTTATCTTTTCGTCATTTAGTCGAACAACTTGTGTGCATATGGATTCTGAACTCACGTCAGCAATCTATGGAACAATGATACGTATCCAGAAAGGAATCTCCTTCTTCAGATATAGATAAAACCCAGAATCACATATAGAATTAATAATAAAAAAATCGGAATCAGTCAATCGCATTACCTCACGAGAGTGAAACGATGGCGAGCAAAATTGAGACAGGCAGTACGAATATGATTCGATTCTTTGGAACCCATCAACGGATTCACGCCTTCTCCGAAGTAACCTTTCTTCACCAGCATCCCCATCAAATCCACCCATTCGGGCCATGAATGCGAGCTTGGATCAGCCAAAGCTGGTCTAGCGAGCTCCAGGTTTTGGGTTTTGGCCAGACCGTGGATATGCGCAACGGTCTTTGGTGGTCTTGAGTACCCAATGATCCGATGGAAGTACCCATGATCACTCTTGAAGAATCTCATCCTGAGGAATTATTGTTTTAAGAGAAGAGTTTTGGCGGGTAAATGACAAAAGGCATCTCCTTTTATTATAAAAGGCTCTTCTTCATATTTTAATGAAACTCAGAAGACAAATTAATGAAACCAAGTCACACCATTTCCGTCGAAATTCAAACTTTTAATTTTGAGGAATTGTAATTATAGTTACTCAATCTACAACAGATTCTATATTTTAGTTCATTGTCAAACTTCATTTGTTTTTTGGTCAACTAATAATATGCTTCATTTTATTAAGACATAAATTCAAACGTCAGAACAAATTTTAGCTTTGAACTGTAACACAGAAGAAAGCTTTCCGCTTTACTTATCTAAGTAACAAAAAAAAAAAAAAACACTCCAGTTTCTTGCTTGGCCTCTAAAGCTCAGCTTGCGGTTTTCAGGGTTCGTCTCATGTCTACATCGTCTTGCTCGACCTGAAAGAGATAGAGACAGGCATACATATGTAAGAAGATACGGAAAACACCAACAACATATGAAACTCAACACTTGAAGATATTGAGCAACTAGTAATGTGAAACTTGCCTCAACAAGTACTCTCTTTTTCTTCTTTGGTTTTCCTTGATCATCAGGCTTTCTTGACACTCTTCTTCCTTTTGTATGAATCACAGCTTGCTCATCAATGTCGTCGTCTTCCTCATCAGATGAATCTATAAAAACAGTTTGTGGCTATGTTACGTTCCATAATGAGAACGAGCTGCTAATATCAAACAACTCTTATGCATTCATCACTTCATCAAGAATCTACAATTGGGGGTCTTGAATTACAGCTCAACAACATATTTTTGAAACGAGTTGAACTGAGTATTTAGGCCAAATATCACCAAGGATCTTGAGTTAGTTGATACAGATATGAAAATTGAGGCAAAACAATAAAGTTTTTTTTTACCATGCTCATCGCTGTCGAAGAAGCCAGACTCCTTATAGGGAAAACCGGAGAAATCCTCCATATCTTTAAGTTCTTCGTAGCATTCAACATATTCAACCTGTGTTTCCTGATAATTCATTCAACAAACAATATCGAAAACAGAGGAATTGTGTCTATGTCTACGATACAGAGAACAGAACACAATATCAAGTTTTCTGTGCACGCCTTAGACAAAGGTACCTTCTCTTCTTCCTCAACATCCTCAGCCAATTGCTTTTATTCATCAAGAATCTTGTATATGTCAGGATAAATTAAATGCCTGTCTCCAATCGCTTAAGCAACTCCGTCTCGATGGCCTGTTCACGAGACCGGCTTGTGAAGAGACAAAAGAGAAACTAAAGCGGACAAGCAATAACAAAACCAGATATATATATAGAAAGTGACCTTATCCAACTCCGCTGCTTACAGCCTTTTCCTCTCTTGATTTCCCTCCTAGGAGTAATCATTATCTTCTCCCTGTGAATACACAAAGACGACCATCAAACAATCAATCCAAACAAAGAAAGAACTTGAAGCTTTATCAACCATTTAAAATGCTTGACAAAAGTATAGAATTTAAACTATATATAGCTTTGAATGTACTTTTGTAAATGTTTGACATCTACATTTTACGTTTATTAAATAACTACTCCTATTGGCTATTTTTGCATTGTTGTTAACCGTGTCTCGACTTGCATGTGGTTTCGTTATTATATTGTTACTAGCCTCAGTCCATAAGATGTTCCCTTACTATCAATCTATCATCGTTTGCTATAATTCGTGTACGGTCACAGTAACAACATGAAAATGTTTTTGATGGTATGCTTCATAGCGGTGAAATGTTCTGTTTTGTTTGGAAAACTATATGCATATTAATGCCATTAAAATATCTCGAAAAGACATTTTCTTTTGTTGGAGTTGCCACCTTGATCATATGCATTTTGGAATCTATTGTGGTTAACTCCGTAATTAGCTGCATGGTTTTATGTGAAAACATACATAAGAGATTTTAGAATCTCTCTTCTATCGGTTTTTGGTTGAATCCTTTTTCGGGTCTATCACTAATGGATCCCATCAGCTCAAGAATTACATAAATTAGATGACTAATATTATATGAAAAACTAAATAATTAGTTCTATTATTATTCAATATAACTAAATTCGACAGATTCATCTTTAATATGTACTTGTACAAGTTAAATATAATAGATTCTAAGATGTTTTCGTGAATGTTCAATGTTATATATCAATAAAATTAATAGTTATGCGATTAAAAGCCAAATTTGAGCAAATAATAAGACAAAATTAAGTATTAACTTTGATCATGGCTTTGCCACGTTTATAATATTCTTTACGCTTCAGTTCTCGTTCCTGCTTCAATTTCAGTCTTTATTTGAACTACGACACCTTTCTTTTCTTTCAGTCATCATCTTCTTCATTTGCTCTAATAATATATATTTTTTGTTACAAACAATTTACTCACGATAGTGGATGCGGCGTCTTCGTAATTAGTATGGTTTTATGTGCATGCATGTTCAATTAGTTTTATCTATGACTTAATTAATTATCATAGTTGTTTAAATCTCATGCACAATACCTTTTTTGTTTACAAGGTATATATATACGGGAATTCATTGGGATAAAACATAAATGTTGCCATTTTAGGTCAAGAGGTTGGGGAACAAAAAAAGTTACAAAAAAACTCTCATCTACAACATAACATGAAAATGTTTTATATATCATTTTATAGTTATATTCATACATAAACTATATTGTAAATACCCAAGTGCTACGTAATTTCTTTCATAGACATGTAATATATATTTTATAGCAAGATTTATTTGAAATTAAACAACTATTAATGATCAAATCGAAATCAACTGATAAAATATATGGTTTTATGTGCTTGCATGTTCAATTAGTTTTATCTAAGACTTTATAATTATCACATTTATTAAATTCTCATACAAATTAAACCGTGTTGTTAACCAATAATATATCTTGTTTCATTGGGATAAATCATAATTGTTGCCAATTTTAGTCGTCTAGAGGTTGATGAACAAAAAAAGTTACACAAACTCTCATCTCCAATAGAACATGAAAATATTTTATAATATCATTATATATTTATTTTCATACATAAAATATTGTGAGTAGTATACATTGGTTCATCAGAACTTTGTAAGCACCAGCATAGACATGTAATAATTATGTTATTAAATAGAGGGAAGAATATGTTTGGAAATTATAAAACTCCGTACTAATGATCAAATCAATATCAGCTCATAAAATGGGAGACTCCTATCAAATTTGTCCAACGCGCACATGCAACAACATTCGTTGCAGCTTTTTCCTCTGGCGTATAATTAGATTTCCGCTTAATCATCACGCGAATCTGTTTCACACTTACGGGAAAAATGATAATTAGAGTTTAAGTTTTTTATTTTGAGTCTTTGATCATGGTTTTGCCACCGTTTGAACTACTATATCTGCTTCAGTTCCTGTTTCAAATTTATTCTTTATTTGAACTACTACACCTTTTTCTTTTTTCAATCATCATCTTCGTCATTTGCTATAATAATACTTCCTTTAAGTTGAGATTTTGTAGATTTAGTAAACTTATACTGTGTTTGATTGTAAGTATGAACTCAGTTGAATCAATGGGAGATCCAAAAGAGTTTTACGCACACCAATAAAACATAGTTTAAGATGTTTTGGTGAATCTTCAACATTATATGTCAATGAGATAAATATTATACAATTTTAAGCAAATAGTAAGATAAATTTGAGCAAATAGTAACACAAATATGTGTAAACATTATGCAAATGTGACGGTTAATTGGAGGCTTAGAGTCACAGTTTTTTAGTACAACTCTAAATTTTCCAGGTCACATCTATTTGATTCGTTTCTCAAATATCATATGAGAAATTAATATGACATATCTTATTATATAAACTTTAAACCGTACTATATAAACCGAACCAAATAAATTTTGGTTTAATTTACCTTTTCTAACAACAAAAATATCTGAAAAGCGAACAACTGATAAAAAGGGTAATTAGACACTTCCACAGAACTGGGTCAGAATTGATACCGTATTGTCTCCACTCTACACGTGGCATAAAATAATTGGCTATTCATACAACGAATGGTGTAGTGTACACTCGCTCATGATCACAAAAGAAAAAGAAAAGTGTAACATAGCAACAAAACCACATAAATTCGTTAGCGCACCTTCATTAGGAAGGTTTCTCACATGAGTCACATGAGTATCTCAGCTTGAGATTATTTTTTTTTTAAATAATATTTAGTTGTGTTTTAAATAGTTGAGCTATCCATATAAGAATTTTTCATTTGAAATACTTTGATGTGGGTATACTTGAAAGTTGAAATACTATTTGAGATACCACACAACTAATATTTTTTATTTTTTTTATCAAGTTGAGAATTTCCCAATGATGTGAAACCTGGAGGTGCTCTCTTGTTTGTTTGGTCCGGTTATTTGTGATTAGTTGTTGGTTTTAACAGAATTAGCTGAAGACTCTCTCTCATTCATCGTTAATGAACAAGTACAGTGCTTACAACCTCACTCAATATATGGTGAAGCACAATATAACCAAAAACTAATCACAAATAACCGGATTCGATAACCGGATTATCTTAACCAAGCTCAATTACTACATCTAAAAAACTCACTTATATGTGATTAATTTTTGTTTTCAATTGTGGTTGAGGTGGAATCGGTTATGGCTCGGACTTCTACGAACGTAGCCACCATTGTTAAGGATCGATCTCTCTACACAGCTTGGACATGCTCCCGCCGGATTTACAGTTGACGACGGCGACGGAGGAGAGCGAGAGCGAGAGGACGATGTCGACGAAGAAGAAGAAGAAGAAGACGCCGTTGAAAGCGGAGGAGACGCCATCGTCGTCGTCGTCCTCGTTGGTTTTAGCGGAGTAAGAAAAGCACGGATCTTAAGCGACGGAGCCGTCGTATCGAGATCGTATTCTTCCATGAGATTCTTTAGATCCTCGTCGGAGGTCACGTTTATAAGCGCGTCGAGATCTTCCGTCGGTAACTGACACCGGAGACTGATCACTGTTATCCCGCAGATCTCTCCGAGTTTCCTCGCAAGCTCTGTTTAAAAATCAACACTTTAGTTTGGTTTGATTCGAAAAATCGAAACTTTAGAATGAAGAAGTTGATTTTTGACTAACCAGTGAAGGATATGGAGCGAGGAACGGAGAGGACACGTGTATTGCCGCCGTGATAACGGAGTTTGCCGTCGGGAAAACGCGGAATGATTCTTCCGCCGTAGCTACAGAGGAATTTGACGGTGGTTGGATTCGGCGAATGAGTGGCCATTGCTTTTAGTTACGGTTATTAATTTGCAAGCTCTGTGTCTGAGGAAGAAGTGTGTGTTGTGTATGTCTTTCTTTTGTTCAAGCCAAGCAACATTTATATGCAATGGCTATATATAGAGAGTTTTTTTTAAGGGAAAAGTATGAGTGTGAAATGAAAAAATATAAAATTATGGTATATTCTCTTCCTTCTTTTTTTGTTTCTGTTTTTTCCGTGTTGCTAAATATATTCGAATATTTTGAATCGAAAAGAAAATTCGACCGACGTTATAAATTTTGGAAGTATTCTCTGATGAATCAAAAAGAAAAAGTGCAAAGTTCATATGACAAAAGAGAGTCATCAACAAGAAATCTATTCCATTTTTTGACAAGTGGACTTCGAAGGAACCAGAAACACTGTTGACTGTTAAAACTCTCTCGACAGGTAGATCTATCCATTCATTTTATGGAGCATTTACAAATCCGGCCACAATTTTAATGAATAGATATTTGAATACCGGATAGTTGCAAAGCATATTTAAGGAAGGAAGCAAATGATTGTCATGAAGAGTTTCAACTATTTTTTAATAATATGGCCATATGGGACTATCTCGATGCCATGAACAACACTATACGGTGATAATAATAAATGGATGCAAAGATGTAGCTACAACAAACGTATATTGCGTATTGTAACAACTTCTGACAGTGTTTGTTTGATATAACACAAATAGATTCTTCTTTCCTATGGTTAAAAGAAATATATCATTTTCAGTGTTACAATAAAAAAAAATTAGATATTTTTCCATATCTTTGCCGTTAAGAAACAATAATCTGAGTTTTTTTTTGTTATAGATATTTTATTTGATTTAGAAACGTTTCTGATATTTTTCCACTGACGTAGACCTCTTGTCTTGTGCAACCGGTTTACCGGTCCCTTGAAAAGCCACAACGACCACGACGATTTGCATTAATATCTTAAAATTCTTGATATCTATAAGACTATAACTGATGAGATATTTTGATATGTAAAAAAAATAATACAAATAACACTATTCAAAACCATAATCTGGTTTATGAGAAGATTAACGTCTTGATATCTATGATATTATTATATGAATCGAATTGAGTGGTGGATTTTTTTTATTTTAAAAATGTATATAAAACCAAAAAATTATGTTGGCGATCATGTATGAGAAAATGATGGGGACCCAATCGTTCGGTTTGGGTATATGAGCGAGCGCATTCAGGTCTCTCGACAGGCTTATGATGGTAGTGCATTCAGCCACGTGTCTTGTTTAAGTATTCAGAGCCGTCGGATCGAACAGATTATCATACCAGACAATGAACCCGATTCGAATTTCATTTGCTTTCCTTTTTTGCTTGGGGAAACCAAAATGCATCTAACACAAATTGTTTATGTGGCAACCATACGTACACCACACCATTATATAATTCGAGTGGCTGACACAACATATGAAACATGGATTGGTGACTTGCAGAATTTTATATACCAAAAACTTTCTAATTATATAACTTAGGAATTGGTCATTAGGTTAATTCGACCCACATGATCATTTCTTTACCAAAAGAAAACATTTCATTCGAATAACATAAATTTATAGAAACACAATCCTTAAAAGTAGAGAAAATGTACAATTACCATACACCAAAAAATACAAGTAAATCCATCCTCTTATTAATAAATCAATAATATTCTTTCATCTCAGATTATTGCAGTTTACATGTTCATATTCCTAAAACTATTTCATAAAACAATACAATAAATAAATATATTTTCTATAAGACTATATAACTATATCCAAAACTTAAGAGCATTTGAATCATCTCTACTCTACACACACATCCTCATGGATGTTTCATACTCCCAGAGACCTTTCATCATTTGGCGTTCAAGTTTCTTTAATCTCCCACTGATCCAGTTATTGTGTAGAACGTAGCAATGCTTCTTCTCACACTCTGCTCTAACATCTTCCTTTAGCCACAGATCTCCGTAAGCACCGTTCGGGAACAAGTCTCTGTCCAAGAAACGAACGGTCAGATTCGTCTCTGGTTCAACGCATTTATCATCTCCCAAACGATGGATTCCTCCTTCTCCACATAACGTGTCATAAAAGCTAGGCTGCTCCGATAAACCGGAGGTCGAAGCATGCTTCACCACTTTCTCCATTGCTGCTATTGTCACTTCATCGGAACGAGCAAAGTAGAATCCCGAGTTTAAGCGCCTTGGTCGGTTTATAGGTGCTGCAAAAAAACCAAACAAAACTCAATTTAGTTTAGTATCTTAAAACACAAGATTGGTCTAATTTGATCAGAACATCAATCACCTGTTGTGTTGTATTCATCGGATTGTGCGGCAAGAACAGAAGGACCGAAAGAAGAAAGCAGAGGCAACGGGTTTCTGAACCAATATACATCGACATCGCTCAAGAGAACGTTATAGCCGAGCTTGAGTATCTTCAAAACAGTTCTTGATTTAACTTTGGTCACTCTCTGGAAACACTTTGATCCAAAGTGGCAATCATTGAAGCTTATGTTCTTCGGAGCATATGGATCGATGAAAACAGGCAGACCCTGTTATGTAGAACACGAGACCAACTGATTATAAACTGACCCTATGATTGTTCAATGGAGTAAGAAGGAGAAAGAAAGAGACTTTTTTTTTACCTGCAAAATAGAAAACTGATAAGTTTCCTCATCAAGTGCACAGACTAAGAAATTTGGAACTCCGAGGCGGCGTAACCTGCAGACCCAACTCATCATCATGTCCTTGTAGCTAAACCCAGCAATTGAAAGAACAACAGTCCTGTTCTTGTCTGCAACTAATGGGAGAAGAGACTTAAGGTCAAAAGGAAACTTCAATACTGGCAATGCCTGATCTTTCTGCACAAAATCTAATCTTAATCTTCTCGATTTAGTTCTGCTGATACAAGCTGAGATCTTCTCTCGCCTTCGAAAGCCTATATTTGAGCCAATCTTCCCTTTATGTATAGACAAATCAATGGAACGATCTGAAGCTTTAGTAAACATATACCGCTTGTTACACTTCAAAAGCTTTGGTAAAGTACAAGACTTGTTGCCACTGAAGAACAATGAGCCGTAGAGCTGCCCGAGATGGGAGTTTCCTATAGATTCCCAGTTTCTTGTTTTGGCTTGTGAGACATTATCACTGCTACTATTATACTTGTTCACTGCATTGCGTAGATAAAAGCTCGATATGGTCGGAGTGGCGTCAAAGACAAACCTTTTCTTACATGACATAACCTCGTTGATGATCCATTGATTGTGAGTTCCTCTTTGATACAAAAACGGTGGAAGGACTCCACAGTGCAAAGGCACATCAAGGTTGTTCCATGCCATAATCATTTTGCCTTCACTAGAGTTGGAATGCCAACTCCGCAAACTTATCATCTTCTGCAACTGTTGGAAAACAAAGAACAGGTTTGATTGAAGAGGGATCAGAATCATTACCAACAAATTTACGAAAGTCTTCCTACATACCTCACCAAATCTCACCCTTTTCCCATTGTTGTCCTGACGCCAGAAATGTCCTGTTTCGTCCCAATGGAACGGGAAATGGGGAATATCTACTGATGAAGAAACGAGAAGCCAATCCCGATCAAGCTCGTGAGCGTAATTCAAAGTGGAAATGAAATCTGGCAAAAGAACAGTCTCTGGATCCATCAGAACAGCTATATCGGATATATAAGCTTCACTTCTCGCCAGCATTGAGTGTAAAAACGGAGTACCAAGAAACCTAACAAAGTAACAATTCATTAACAACGAGATGTCACATAACGAAAATGGCATCTCCTATTTTTATTTGAATAATCTAATATCGTAAATCATTCACAAATCATAACAGAGAAAACAAATGGAAAGGGAATAGAACAGCTTACGTGAAATCGATGGTGGAATCAAGAAGAAGACGGGAACTAAATTTGTCGGCAGAAGCAGAAGAGTTGTGCTGAGTGAACAAAACAACAGTGATTTGTGAAGACAAAGCGAACCATGAACGAACAGCCAATAAAGCTTGGCTACCTTCTTCGAAGGAGGAGGAGCCATCGAGAGCAGTGAAAATGGTGATTCTGGGAGCAACGGAATCGCGAGAAAACGAAGCGTCTCTGAATCGGTGATCGAGAGAAGGAGATAGAAGCTGAGTTCCGTAGAAGGAGAGAGCGATTAGGAGAAACCCAGATAGCCAAACAGACAACAACAGCCCAGCTCGGAGACCCTGTAAGATTTCATCGAAATCAAAGTGAAGAGTTTTCAGAAAACTGAAGTCAAGATCTCGTACAAAAAAGGGAGTAAAGAGCAAGTGAGAGATATCAAAGGAGAATTGGAACCTTAAGTTTCATTGAAAAATCAAAGGAAGAATTGTTGAATGGAGGAGAGAAGCGAAGAAGGGAGTAAGAATTAAAAGGAAAAAATTAAAAAATGGAGCTTTAACGGAAAAAAGGAAGAAAATGGAGAAATACCAAAAATCCAGAAGTTGAGATGATGCGGAAAGCCGGCGGGAGGAAGGGAAATTAGAATGAAGGAGGAAGAAGACATGTGAACGCTTTTCGTCATCTTCAAGAAAATTGTTTTACTAGCATTTTATTAAATTCTCGTCTTCTTCTTCGACATTTTACCCCCAAAAAAGTAAACTTTAGGGTTCTTATTTCAACGACCGTTGAACACATAGATGATCACAATTTCACTGAGTCACTGTTTATGACGTTTCTCTTTTTTTTTTTTTTTAATGAATGATACTTATTAAAATAATTCAAAGTTTACAACACTTAGAAAAAAGGATGGGCTGATTAAAGATTTTGAACATGTACCATTTTTGTTTTTAGGCTGATCAAATGATCATGATTTTCATCGAAATCCGAAAACATCAACCCTTAAAACTGAATTAACTACAGCTGTTTTGCTAATTTTAACATTAGTCTTCACTTAGATCTAAAATGATTTAATTTTTTATGTTTATTAACGAGTATTAATTTATAAACGTTAACTTTTTACAGTATTTCGAAAATACCAGCAATTTATTCTTTAAAATCAATCCTACATCACTTTATCACCATAATCATTGGCTATTAACACTAGCTAATCAATAAAGTCTGAGATCCAATCTAAGGTAAATAAGAAGAAAATACAAAAAAAAACTCAAAAAACATAACTTGAACTGAATAAATATCCAATTTGTCAAAATCAAAATACATATCTTTTTTTTTTTCAAAATACAAACTTTCTAAATAAGAAGTAGATGCAATTCAAACATAAAATCCTAAGTGAATCAATGATAAAGATCATCTATGTCGGTGAAAACAAAAGTTTAGTTAATGCCAAAAGGCGACGAGGGATATGATTTTTTCTTACATTAAAGAGAAAATGTAAGTCTCTACAATTATGTCGAGATCTTTCAAAAACAAGAAAAAAAACAAGAGAAAATGAGCATCAAACGCATTGGAACTAGCGTTTTCATACTTGACCATCTATGCTACGAAGACCTTTTGAAATTGTGTCCCATTATCATATAATGTAGCCCAAAACCAATGCTTTGCATGCTTTAAAAGAGGGACGGGCCTGCAACATGGTCCCGGGCAAGCAAGATCTCTGAGCAGTTGCCGGAGTATTCACTAAGCCCGATGTCGCCTGCGGGGTGATCTGGACCTTGACCGCTTTGACCTGTAATATCAAATCAGGTTTGAGTTCAGTTGACAAGCAGGGGATTAGCTAATAGTCTAAAGGATAAAGGAAAAAATTTCAGCTTTATCCACCTGTCAAGTGTCAAGACAGAACAAACATTTGATATTGAGAATGCGTACCTGGATGTGTCATGAGAAGAGTGTAGAGTATGCTTGCGTTGAGAATTCTTGCTATGTGGTGACCGCGAAGAAACATGTCTATACAATCAAACATACATGATACTTTCTGTGGTGAGTTTCATACTATCTTATCCGATTTGAGCGATGCTTACCCATCTCTTTGACTCAAAACTTTTGCTTTCAAAAGTTCTTTAAACTTTACAGAGTCTATTGCTAAAATAGACTAACAAACATACAGAAACACCAGTGATCTCAGAATCCTGACAGTATTGAAAAACCTACCTTCTTTTGGACCTTACGGGAGATGGTGACCGATTCCTTCTCCTTGAAGAAGACTTCCTGAAGAAAGACAAAAAGATTGTTAGCATTAGACCAAAAAAAGATTAAAGACAAAAACTCAAAGCAGGACACTCTATTGCCACCTTCTTGAATCATCAGAGGATTCATCACTGGATGGAGAAGAGCGCTTTCTTCTGGACCTCACAGGAGATGGTGATATATTCCTTCTTCTCGAACGCGACTTCCTGAAGAAAGGCAAAAAGAATCATTGTGGGTATTGGCAAAAAGCATTAGACAAAAGACGCGCAAAAGTAAAAAAACTTAATGTAGAACATCATCCTATGCTACCTTGTTGAATCATCAGAGGATCCATTACTGGTTGGAGAACGTCTTCTTCTGTTCTTGGTCGAGTCTTCAGCCTGCCTGTGCCTTGACCGTTCTTCTTCTTTTTCCTTGTTCCTCTTTTTACCCCGGTCTTCCTTAGAATTTGTTCTATGAGCCCTATCTGCATCTCGTGAGTCCTTCTTTACATGGAGATCTGTAGATTTATTATTCGATTCAAAGCCTTTAACTTTCTCTGCTGACTTTATGTCGTTCTGCCTCATTCTACCTTTTGAGCCATTCTGAGGATCTACCTTCTCTTTTCCAGTTTCCGTTTCATCTGATCTATTTCTATCCCTACTCACATCGTCACTCAAGTATTCCCCAGAACTTTTATTGCTATCTTGACGAAGGTTGCTATCTGGTTTCACGCCAGAGTTCTTCCTGTGAGGCTCATCTAGTATTGCATCTTTATCAATATCAGTTCTGTCAGGATGGTTTGTTCTGCTTCCTAAAGTATCAACATCGAGTCCAGCGCTGGCGCTTGTATCTAAATTTTTGTAACTACCTCCCACATCATCATTTCTTCTGGAGTTCAATATCTGATCCAAGCCTGACTTGTTCTTGGGGGACATATCACCGACTTCAATTTTTGGATCAAATCTTGCATTGACCATTTCTTTAGGTTCAGGAAGTTTCTCAGTGCTCGGCTGCTGATGAACATCATTTCTCGACCCCACGCCAAGAACTTCATCATTGCAGTCGACATCAGCGTTAGAGGCAGCATCAGTATCCTCATCATCATCAGAGGCATAGCTAGCAAGACCAAGCAAAACATCTGATAGAGAGCCAGAGCCATCTTTTTTATTTGCGCCTTCTACCGAGACCAAATTTTTTGCTGAAGCCTTGTGCGTTGGATCAGCCGAGAGAAGGGATGATGATGACTTAGGATTGTGCTGGACACTGTCTTCTGAAATGATGAATAGTACAGCATAACACCAAACAAGATGGTATATTCAGTAGTTATTCCGCAGAGAAATAGCATAAAATTAAATCTTGGAGACCACAACAAACCTTTCGCTACTGCTTCATCTTCATTAATGACTTTGGTTGCAATTTCATCAAATAATTCATCTGTAACCTGTTCAAAAGACGAATGCCATCTGTTGCAGAAACGTGTTTCTAGACCGTTTAATGACTTGTGTTTATAGACCACAATTTTTCTAAAGGGCCACCTACCGTACGAAGAACTTCCGTCAAGATACGCTTTATCTCCGCCGCTCTAACTTCATCCATCTCATCCTACATGTAGCAAACCATGGATTTTAATGATGGTGCTGAATAAAAATGAAGTACCAAGGGAGCTTGATCCGTCATAAAAAACAACTTTTAAGACAATCTTAAAACGTTCAAGGAACCTCATCCTCCTCTTCTTCTTCGTCGGAAGATTTAGCGGGGCTGAGCCTTTCGTCTTCACGCTGATCAACTTTTGCCAGAGGTTTATAAAGTACATCATCGTCCATGGAATCTCTCTCCTCAAAACTCCCTGAAGAAGGCCTTTCAAGAGACGCTTTGTTCTTCAATAATTCTTCCCTAAGCCAGTTAGGTACAGGAGCCTGAAAACCACCTCATTAGCCAGAATTCATGGAAGGTACTGAACTCCTCTAGAAACAATTTAGTCTTACCTTTTTAGGAGGAACAGATGATGCTGCATATGAGTCGTCCATGAACGTTGCAGCAGGGTGAAGAGGCGGCTTTGTCGCATAAGCATAAGGGGCTCCAACAGGCTGGAGATTTGGAGGGGGAAACCTTCCAAATGGTTGCATGGTATGACCAGAAACAGGAGGCATAGCCATAGATGAGTCATGCTGCAAAAAAAGCAAACATCAAAGTTGCCCCCATCGAACTACTACAAAAATGAAAGAAAACCAAAAAAACGTTTAAGTACCTGTGGCACTGACGGTACAGATGAAGGAATTGAAGGATACACTACTCCGGTTGCGGCATGAGGCTGCCACGTATTGTGCAGACTAGCATAATCAGAACTGTCTCTAGTAGCAAACTGTAAAGGCTGATCACTAAGGTTACTAGGTGCAGCAGCTGTTTGTTCTCCATATCCATATTGCATTTGCTGCTCTGCGCGAACAGGTCCTCCACCATCAGGCACCGATATCTGCATCTCATGTTGGGTTGCATTGCCAGATTCTTCTTTACCTGCAAACAAAGTAACAAGTTTAAGTTCTGGAGGTGTTCATAGCTTAATTACTGCTACCAATCTCTAGACCAACAAAATGGAGAAACAGAGACACGCTGTTTAAAGAGAAAACACTAGGAGAACTATAATCAATCAGTAATGGCTGCTCTATGTGCGGAATGCATGTGTTATTCTGGCGAGCAAGTACCCATATATTACGCAGCACATCACTATGCACATGATTTATCACGGGCATAGACTTGGAACAAGGAAACTTTGAAGAGACCCGTGGAATTTCAAGTAAAAAGAAAACCTACATAGAGTGCTTGACTAGGAGCTAGAATGATGTTCTAAGTAAATGGTTACCTGCTACAGAAGAATAACTATAAGGTACCTCCTGCTGATGAATTGCTGAACTGGTAGGCAGATTTTCTTGATGGGAAAATCCAGCAGAAGAGCCTCCAGGAAAACTCTCGTTTCCTGATGCATAATTTGGATATCTCTCCGGCTGTGTAGATGGTGGAACTGGAAACTGCTGATAGCTTAATCCTGGAGCCGCCTGTTGGTGAACATTTTGATTAGGGTATTGCTGATAGATTTGTCCGCTAGGTTGGTTCGTTGCAGATTGCGAGTGTTGATCCTGGTTAGCAGCTGCCCATTCTTTAGCTCTCACTGCCCAATCCTCGACGTCGCTATTAGCTGCCATCAAGAGATAGTCAGAATCCAAACCCTAATATATTTACTCAATAACATTGATGGTGATAAAGAAAGCAAACCTTGAGAGGTGTGACCTTGTTGAGACCCCCAATTTGGATTTCCCCATTCCTAATGTGCAAAATCAAAATCAAACCTAAGAAAAACAGTTCGAGAAAGGGGGAAAAACACAGGATAATCAGACGAAGGAGCAACCTGATTAGCCTGAGGATACGGCGGAGGAACATGATGTCCGGCAGGCGGAGGAAACTGACTGTTACCATTGACGCCGGCGTTGAATGGCGGCTGGTGAGAGTGCGTCGGAAAAGGAGGGTAAGCAGAAGGTGGCCCCCACTGCGGCGGAGGTGGAGGCGGTGGAGAGGGAGAGTGAGGGTTATGAAATTGATTGGAGTACCATGCAGGACCACCAGCCTGCGTAGGAGGAGGCACCGGTGGCCTCGCCGGATGCTGATAGTATTGGTGGTAAGGATCCGCCGGTGGCGGTGGACCAGACGGCGGTCTCATGTACGGAGGCGGTGGCTGATACGAGTCCATTAGCCTTATTTCTAATTCCGGTGTGCGAGAGATGAAGCAAAAAGGTCTTTCAAGTCTTGACTCTTAGCGTTTGAGATCGAAATTTGATTAGACCGAATAATCTTGAAAACTGCGGGTCGTCTTTCAGTGTTTTCCTTAAACTTTCGTGCCGTTTTAAGAAGCATCGAAACGACAGATAGTTTACACTACCTATAAGAAAACGCCATGACTTGTGTGTACGAGTATGAATTTAAGAGTTATATCTATGGTTTACTTACACAGTTACACCTTTACACAATTTTCATCCTTACATTATCATCATGACCATTCAAAAACATAATCATGACAATTCCTGAACTGTTTCGCATGTGTAAACTGTAAAGCATAAGAGGACCAATCATACGACAGCATCTGCTTGTTTCTTCGTCAATCTAGCGTATAAGCCATCTTTGCTCAATAGCTCTTGGTGATTGCCCATCTGTTGTTTCGTGGACAAAAGTAACAGTCAAAATCACCAAAGAGCAACGGTTTTATGAATTTATCTAAATCAGTAAATGGGTGGCTTACCTCGACGACTCGTCCACTGTCCATAGCCACTATTCTATCCGCAGCCTTAATTGTAGAAAGTCTGAAGGAAAAGAGTGTTACAGATGTCATAAAATCGATAACCAAAACATGTTAAAAGTCGAATCATTGTAAGAAAAAGATACCTGTGTGCTATCACTATGACGCTTCTCTTTGTCGCTGTGTCGCTTCCGATAGAACGAAGTACACCCTGGAAAAAAAACATAGGCTTAGTTCTTGCATCCAAGTCATTTCTCTTTTTGGCACTAGAAGGGATTACTAGTTACTACTTTAACGTTGTGTTCGCTCTCTGCATCAAGTGCACTAGTGGCTTCATCGAGGATGAGAATTCTAGGATCTCTAAGGATGGCACGAGCAATGGCAATCCGTTGTTTCTGCCCTCCACTGAGTAAATCATCATCAACAATTGTGTTGTAACCATTGGGAAGTGCTGTGATGAAGTCATGTGCATAGGCTTGCTTTGCAGCCCATATTATGTCTTCTTGCGTTACGTTTCGATCACATCCATACTTGATGTTGGAACCGATGTCTGTGCGGAAGAGTTTTGGTTCCTGTTTCATTGTGACAAGCTTTAGATGAGAAATGGGAAATTCATCAAATTTTATTTCACTTCATGTAGCGGAGATGCGAAGAGAACCTGCCCCACGTATCCTATTCTTTGCCTCAGCCACTTGACATCTAACTCTTGCAAAGGAAACCCATCAAGAAGAATCTGGTATTCAAAGAGACAGCTGTTAAGGAAGGAATGCAATAAAGGGTCATTCTACAGAGAGTTTGAGTAACCTACCTGACCACTTTTTGGTTCGTACAGTTGCAGCAAAAGACTAACCACTGTGCTTTTTCCACTGCCACTTAGACCAACCTAAACACAACAGATATGTTCACAAAGCGCTTCCGATAGAATCTTAGGAAATCAGTGGCGCCGTAAGACTACTTAGAGATATATACTTACTATTGCCACCACTTCACCAGGACGCACAGAAATGCTTACGTTTTGGAGCACTGCCACCTGAGAGATTTACATATGATATGATATGTTTAGACAAGCTGAAATATGAGCCCCATACAGTCAATACCAGAAGCAGGAGTGCAAAACCAATTATGATGTGTGTGCATGAATTCTAATGTAATAAACAAAATTGTAAAATGGTTTCAATTGCACAGCAATAAGTTTGGTCACTTCTAGGCAAGCACTATGGGTACAAAATCGCAAGTCAGAATCTAAATGATTTCCGAATCTGTGACATACAGGTAAAAATAACAGACCTGCTGATTTCACTAATCAAGGAATTGTGGTTCAAGGATATACACACATAAGCAGAAAGTTAGAGGGAAAATTAGGTTTCACATGTTACACACACGAATGCAGTCATACCTCCTCTCGTGAAGGGTAGCTGAACGACACATTTACGAACTCAATATGTCCTGTTAGTCTATGGAGTCTAGTTCCTGAAGAGCAGTTTAAAAATAAAAATACATTAAATGGTAGAGCGTAGCAATCTCCGTAAGTCTCTAGGTAGGAAATCCAAAGTGATTTACTCTAGGTGGTTCATCCTGGAAGAGGTTTGACTCTGAGTTATATCAACTAATAACAACCTAAATCAAGCTCTCATCAATCTAATGAACCTTGCCTTTTGATATGAATTGAACACTTGGCTTGAGATCCATCATCTGGAAGACCTTTTCACTCGCTCCAACTGATTGCATCAAAGACGATAAATTATCTCCCACCCACCATGTAGCATAGATTAACCACTCACTATACAACAGAAACTTTGTCAGCTGCTCGGCTGTTATTTGACCGGCTAAGATAGACATTCCTCCAATCAAGACAGCAATAATCTACCACAGAAACAAATGATCGATCTTGTCACATTCTTACATGAGCATCACCATCTTTAAGAACCACAGATTAATTGATCCTTCCCAAAAAACAGAAAAAAAAAAAAGAGAGAAGTTAAGCAAAACAAGGTTATATATGAGGAACCTGAGTTGCATGGTAAAGAGTGTTGAAGCTCCAATTCCAAATACCATATGCAGCACTCTGTCTGAAACTTATATCCGCCATTTTCTGAAGCCAGTAATTGTACCTTTCCACGACAGAATGGGAGAAAATCCATGTCAAAAAGTAACTTGGCTGTTACACAACATGTGCTTAAAACAGAATGGGCCGATATCGCAAAATTTCATCCAAAAAAGCAAGAAATGAAAAGACTTTCAAGGGTTTCATGGAATCAGATTTCACCTTTTAAGCTCTTGCTGCTCTGTCCCGTATACACGAACAGTTCTCATCAAAGAGTATGTCTCTTGAGCAACCTTGCAATAAGAGAGGTATTATAAGCAAAGGTATTCATTGCATCAAAGACATGTTAAGATAAAATTCTTGAATTTCACTGGAAAAAAAAGTAGATAAAAGTTCTTGAATGAATTACTTCATTTGCAGAAGCTGTGATCTCCTGAATTAGCTTCGCTGTCTTCTTTTGGTACCTACAACATGACCAGATGTAACTGTACTCTCTGCCCTCAATCCTAAGAACACTAGCCTTAAGTACCAGTTGCAGCTGCCCAGGTGTGTATTTAAAAAGGGAGAAAGTAATGGCAGAATCTCACATCCCATAAACGAACATAACCGCTGCCAAAGTACAGCAAATCACCAGTGTGCACAGCCCAAGCGGCCAAGACAAGATCAGCAAATAAATTAATGCCCCTGTACCCTAAAAGAAAAAATTGTAAACATACATATAGATGTCAATCATGCGCAAAAAACATACTTCAGGCAAGATGGTAATTATATTGATTAGAAGAAGACCTGAAGAACATTGCGAAGTATCATGTTCAGATCATTTCCGATGACCCTCGAGACTTGCTGACAGTCCGATCCAAGTCTGCTTGTTAAGTCACCAACAGTTTGAGAGTCGAAAAATGATATATCCTGATGCACAAACCGACCAAGTTAGCTAGAGTGCTTCCAAGAACTAAAGGTAAACATGAGTTACCAAGATTCACGAATGGTGCCAGAGTTAGAAACTTTCAGGACCTGGAGGAGAAGCGTGGAGTATAGCGTTTCCCTCATTCGTTTCACCTAAAAAGTAACGTGAGACCTCATCATATCACGTTCGTGAGAAGGAAATTCCTGAGTAGATTAAAACCACAGATAAAAGGGAAAATTTTCCCGGGAAGTAAACTCACAAGTATCATGTTTGCAATCCCAAAGAAACATCCTCGTATGCCACTGGAATCATGAGTTGAACAAATAGTTGTGTGAGGAGCTCCACAATATCAAAAGCTGGAAAATTTTCGTAAAAGATCCTCAAAAAGAGCAAGTTGATCAGACAGTAAGAGCAACCCTCTAATTCAACTTGAAAATAAAATAAAAACCAGGGACAAAGCGTTAGACCATACAAGATGTTGACCTGCAAATGCCTGAAGTAACACACAGCACAACCAAGAGCTTAACATTTCGACGAAACACAGAGATATCACCACTCTGTGCCGAGAAAATCGAAGCTGTTAAGAAATGTGGAATGGTTATCTCTGAAAGCTGAAACAAGTAGAGAAAAAAAAAAAAGATATAAGAAAAGGAAGATTCTCACAAAGATTCATCTTAGCCAGTTTTAATTCCGCAAGAATCAATTGCAAAGTCGCAACGAAGCAACAATACTCATATCAAACTAGTACACTAAACATGAGTTCGAATGTTCGATGCAAAACCATTTACAACACCGGAAACTGAGAAGAAAACCACGCACCGCAGCTACGATAAGAGTCGAAAACGCGGCGAAGATAACCCAGCGATCCTCAGCCACAAGTTCCCACATCCGACTTAGCGCACGCCAAACAGTAACCGGCTTCGCTATAAACCTACTATCAACCTCATCCGTGAAACGCCACCAGCTTCCGCCTGGTAATATCGTCCGGAGAAAACCAATACATTGCCGAATTCTCTCGATAAGTGAAACGGAGTCTCCTTCTCCTTCATAATATTCCGAACTTTCCACTGCTGCTCCATTCACCGTCGAGCAATTAATCGAAGCTAACCGGTAATTTCTACTTGAATACTGAAGAGAAAACGAGAATCTCGGTTTCGCAACGAATCGGAGATTCTTCCTTTTAATGTCACTGGTCGCAATCACAGAACACCGTCTGTGGAGGGAAACGCGGATGGGTCGGCTCGTGCAGCCGAGTACCTGCAGAGCCATGAATCAGCGTCGTGATCGGTGAGAGTAAGATACGAAGAAAAGCTTCACGACTCCGAGCTTTCCTTGGTTCATATGAAACCAAACGAAACGCGCCGTTTCGAAAATCGAAGAAGACGTAACGTATGGAAGCTCCGTGTCAACCAAAATAATCTACAAAGCCGAGACGGGCCCCACGGAGATCCACCACCAATTTCATCATCAGCCACAAGGTGACACCGGCGCGTGAGAAATGCGCGTGGCGCGTAAATGTTCAATCTTGTGGTGGTGAACTCTGCTCGTCGAGCAATCTTCTCCTTTCCACGACGACGTTTCAAGTCCAAGGCTGAAAATGAAACAGATATTCTTATTGGGCTTATAGCTAACTAGGCCTAGATCACTTAAGAGCCCATATACAAACCCTAGGAAAAGGTCAAGAGAGTGAGTGAATCAGCTCGTCTTTATAAATCTGTGCTGCTTTCTCCAGAAGCCCTAGCCGCAAGGAAGAAAGGGGATCGCAGATCGGCGAAAATGACGACCAGATTCAAGAAGAACAGGAAGAAGAGAGGACACGTCAGCGCCGGGCACGGTCGTATCGGAAAGCACCGTAAGCATCCCGGAGGTCGTGGTAACGCCGGAGGTATGCACCACCACAGGATCCTCTTCGACAAGTACCATCCAGGTTACTTTGGTAAAGTCGGTATGAGGTATTTCCACAAGCTTCGTAACAAGTTCTTCTGCCCAATCGTGAACCTGGACAAGCTATGGTCGCTCGTGCCTGAGGACGTGAAGGCGAAATCGACAAAGGACAACGTTCCGTTGATTGATGTGACGCAGCACGGGTTCTTCAAGGTGTTGGGTAAAGGTCATTTGCCTGAGAACAAGCCGTTCGTTGTGAAGGCGAAGCTTATCTCGAAGACTGCTGAGAAGAAGATCAAGGAGGCTGGTGGTGCCGTTGTGCTCACAGCTTAGGTTTTCAAATTTTACCTTCCCTTTTTGTTTTTTTTTGGCCTTTGAATCTTCCCTAAACTTTATCTAGTTTTATGAACCTTGTTGGATTTTATATTCGGAATTTCAGATGTGGTATGTTATTGGGATTTTGAAATGTTTCCGCAATACGTAGGCTTAGAATTATGTCAATTTCTTCATCGTTGCTTCGTTGGCATAATCTTTGATCTAAAATCACTCGTCGTCGATTTGTGGGATTTGCATTCCCTGTTTTGAACATCATTTGATTGATACTTACATACATATGCATTGATGTTCTGGAATTTTGAAATGGAACTTAGAAAACGTCTCTAATCTGAGTCGTAGATGCAGTAAATAGAAATCCCTACACTACAAAAAACTTGACTCAGAGGTGGTGTTGTTCGTATTTAGAATTGTTGTTCGTATTTCTCGTTCGGTTGTTGCTGTTCTATATTTTGTGTCCGATAAACTCTGTTAGCCCTAGACTCCTAGTCATTTACGGCCAGGTATTAGCCAGATTCCTCTTAGGACTACGTCACTTTTGAAAATCATGAGACGATTAGATACGATAATACGATATAATGGAACCTCATTCGTTCCTTTAATTTCACAGTCGCACAATTTCATCAACGAGATTAACCATATTTATGCTGGCCATTTGAACCGAGTTGTATCCCGAAACAAAATTGTCGAAACCAAACAAGATCGAATTTCTTTACTCACTTAAACTCAGATCAGAAGTTTCATTTTTCGGTGTAAACAAAATTAATTGTAAAACATTATTTGTTTGAAATTTTTACTGAAATGCAATCAAATCCGAAGTAAAAACCCAAATAAACTAAAACAAAAACTCCATCAAGCACGAAAGTAAATGAGTTCCAGGTCATTCAAAACTCCAAACCAATAGCAAAAACGAATCCAATCCTAATTTTTTACACTGATAAATTTGACAGGATGATATTTATCTTCAATAAATAAGAAAATCAAATCAAACATACAAATTATTATTTACTTCTACTCATTTCTTATTCGCTTCGTTTTTTATGTTGTTGGATATATGGGAGGTTATGGAGCACATTAGCTCTGCTAAAATATGAAACTGTGTTTGTTTGATCCTAAAACATTTTTAAATTTTTAATGATCAATAAAAAAAAGGGAGCGAAAAGGTTATGTTATTGAATCATCGCCACAATGAAAGAAATTCGAGTTACAGAAGTGTCAAGAGCCAATAATTTAACTTTTGACCTGGTCTTCACTGTACTCAAAAGATGGACTCACTGATCGATTATAGCTGGTGACACACAGTTATAGGATTGGTTTAAGACAAGCCATGAGCACGAGAAGTTGCAGAGAGCCGTTGCTGTACAACTTCCTTGACGTGACTAGCAGCTGTTTCGCCACCACGTTCAGCGAGTTCTAAGTATAGCACAGATTTCAGCATCGCCCCTTCCTGCAAATCAGTTTACAGATTCATCAGTTCAACCCTCCAACTCCTTCTTTCATAATCTAAAATCGAGAATCAACTCTATTGCCTAATTTCCAATTTTCCATCTAGTCGACTCATACTCCAACATGTTTCTCATGTTCAATCATAAGAGAGACATGTTTCTTCCTCATACTACTATTGTTATATATCAAGAGAAGTAGACGACTCGAGCAAGCTTTGATGAATTTGAGGGGAGATCAGGGATGATGCTTACAGAAAATAGAGCAATGCCATGTTCAAATTGAGCTTTACTGTGACCGTGATCGGCTGCTCGTTTCATCCATTTTCTTGCTAGCTTTCGGTTTTGGGGTATGCCTTCCCCAACCGAGTAACAAAGCGATATGTTATACATTGCTCGTACATACCCACCTTCTGCTGCCTTTAGGTACCATCTAGTCTGTCAAAAAGAGAGAAATAACAAAACTTTATGGATTTTGGAAAGACGAATAAGTCAAAAGTCAAACAAACATTACCACAAATGAACTAAGAACATGTCCAAACATAGAATTCTATCAGTTTCCATCAATTCAAAGATGCAACTTTCAATGGAGATGGCGACACCACCACACGAGTACAGATACAAATTGTATAGAAACTTAACAAGAAGCATGAAGAAAATGATCAGAAAAAAGGTAACATACAGCTTCCGGCAAATTGGCTTGCACGACCCGGCCTTGGTGTAAACAAAGAGCTAACTGATACTGTGCTCGAACATAACCATTCTCTGCAGATTGTTTCAACCATTTCATTGCTTCCTTTGGATTTGAGGGTTGAACTGCAGGTAGGAGCAAGCAATTTGCTCAGAAAAATGCTTCACTAATTCATCACCATCAACAATAAGCTCATTCATGAGTTCAATCGCAATTCTAGATACCACAACCCAGAAAATTTAAACCCTAAACAGCTTCGAATTGCGATCCGATATAGCTAAATTGAGCTTGGAAAATTATATTACCTTGAAGATACGAAATCCCCAAATTACATTGACCAACAGGATCATTAAGCTCCGCAGCTCTCCGGTACAGACCCACCGCTTTCTCCTTCTCTCCCTTTTCCCAATACACAAGCCCTGCGTCGACCATGGCGAGCGTGGATCCACGCGCGGCGGCTTTCAGGAACGAATCCAGAGCCTTCTCGAGGTTCGCTCGAACGCCTCCTCGTCCGTGCTTGAACCGTTTGCCCCAGCGAAGCAGCACCATCGATTCCCTCAGCGGCTGGAGCGCGTCCCTCCACGATTTGCACACCGACGACGCCGCCTGGAGATTCGGAAGGCTTAACGGCGCCGCGATTTTCATCAGAATGTCGAACGGAAGCATCGAGAAATCTCCGCCACCGTCCGATACCTCATTCGATACTAGAGGGGAAGAGCTTGAGCTTGACTTCGCCGTTGCTCTGATTGAAAATCTACTGCGTTTTTCCTTGTCGTAAGGTTTCGAAAACGGCAAGGAGGTGAATCGAGACCCGTCGGATGTACCTGGCCACGTTCTCTGCTTCATCTTCTCCGGCGAAGACCACCGTCGATTTCCAAGAGGGGCAAGTAAACGGATTCGTTTTGGTGCTTTTCTTTTCTTTCTCTTTTTTTTCCGCGTAGGTGTGTATAATTTCTTTTTTTTTTTTTTAATTACGTGGTACGAGAATCGAACGGCTATGCGATGAGAAACAATTAATCCAAGAGACGAAAGTCTGACACGTGGAATAGTTAAACCGCCAAGAAAATTCGTATAGGAAGACCATCAGAGCGGACCAAGCAAACAAACACGAAGCATTAATATTTTGTTTTTCGGGCTGGGCCTGCAATTTCTAGCGTACATAAAGCTTTTTTGTTTTTTTGTTTTTTTTACACTAATCTACTATTATTATGATAATTATTATCTCATAATTTTACAACGAACAAAATTTAAGTTAGTCTAGTTGTTTGTAAATAGGTAAATGTGTGTTCTGTTTGAGGTTTTGTGGAAACCCTTTAACTTACTGGTTAATATATTCATTAATGCTTCTACACCAAGAGATTTGGGTTTCAAGTCCCGAGAAATGCGATTTATTATTAAAATGAAAATAATTTTACAGAAGGTTTTCAACATGGGGCATAGAGATCCGTTTCACATGTTTGCAGGTGGGAGATTTGTCCGTTGAAGAACTGTTGATGTAATAGTTCTCATAATTTATAATAGAATAATAAATCAGTGTTAAAAAAAAAACTTTTACAACGGACAAATCTTCCATCTGCATACAACATCAAACAGATTTCTATGCAACAAGTTAAAAATCTTCTGAAAATTTATTTTCTTTAATATGTAAATTAATAATAAATTGCATTTTCCAAGATTTAAAACTCAGATTTTCTGGTGTAAACTTTTTTTATTGTATATGTAAACCCTATTAAAAATAAATAAAATTTTATTTCAAAAGTCACTGTTACTAATAGATAAATAACTGAGTGTGGAAATTAACCTAAAAAAAAATCATGGGGTCCAGCATAATCTAATTTTTTGTCAGCGATGATATGGCGGTGACGGAGATCCTATGGCGTTTTTATGGTTGATGGTGATGTTTTTTCACTATTGTTTTGTTCATCGTGATGCATTTCTGCAGTGTGTATGCTCTTTCTAATAATTTTGAAATGCTATCGTTTACTGTCTGTTAAACATTTTTCAATGAAATAACATCTTAAACCATTCCTTAAAAAAAAAAACATCTTAAACCATTCACGCTCTTAAATCAATTTGTTAACAGGTAAAATGTTGGTTGCTTGTAGGTTTCTTAATTACACTCGTAAACCAATTCGGCCAATTGGATTACAAAACTTTACTCATTAAAATTTCAATTTCGACTCATATATTATGCATGAGTGCAAGCAAAACATCTCTGTAAGTGTAAGCAATCTATAATATGAACAGAAAAGAATGATGTCTACAAACAAAATGCTATTGTTTTCTGTGTTCAACATATTTTTCAATGGTTGACAAAAAAAAAAATTCGATGAATTAACATCTGAACCATCTACACTCATGTGTATGATCATACTATATCAATTTGTTGAAATGTAAAACGTTGGTTGCTTGTAGGTTTCTTACTTACACTCATAGACCAATTCTTCAAAAAAAAAAAATTAAAACAGACAGGATTATAAAGAATTTATGCATTCAAAATTTCAATTCCGACACATCTGTTTATGAGAGCAAGCATAAAATCCGTGTAAGCAAACCATAATTTGAACAGAAAAGAATGATATGTCTATAAATAAAATTAATTACTTTGGTTAGTTAAATGCCACGTTAAATATTGAAGTTAATACTCTGAACAAAACACCATATGGTAGTATAGTATAGCACTGTATATCGTATGTAATTAGCATACAAAAAATAAACTTTACCAGACATTGTTGTCACAAAATGGTATGAATTGTCAACTGTAGTAACAAATTGGTTTGATTAATTAATTTGTATAAAAAAGTTCGGTCACTAGAATAGAACTACAAGATGTGATTGTCTAAAAGTTTCCTATTACCTAAAATCGAAATTGACACTATTACTTGCACATGATGCTACAATTTCACTGAAAATTAGCGAAAAAAATATGATTTTGTAAATCTCCTAAACGAGTCGAATACATGTATCCTATGAAATAAATAACATTTAGAGTATGAAATTATTGACGTTATAATGCATAGGATTCTATTCAGCTCAAAACGGACTATTCAATTATCTCACCAGTCACCATTACCAAACATGATATAGACCTCTATTTAGAAGAACTCAGTGGTTGTTGTGTGGTCGTGTGGGTCAACTTTCCCTAGTTTGAAAGTTTTTTTCCCCAACATTAAAAGCTTCTCTCAGAAACTTTATTTGGTCACAATATGAGATTTGTTTATTAAAGAAAAGTCGAATCGTATTTAAACGATTTTATCTAGTAGTTGACCAAGTTATTATTGATTTTGGGTGCATGTCCACACAATTGAAGCATTTGGCAGATCATAGTTACGTTAGATTGTCTTTTTTTTTTCAGTAAAATTTCTGCATTGTAAGAAAATTGTAATATTTGTGTTGCATAGAAAGAACAAGAAAATGATCCAACGATTTCTCCATTCACTGATTAAGAACATTATTCTTTGACTTTTTGGGTTAAACAGTTTTTTTTAATCTAATGTTAAATTATATTCAAAGAAAAAAAAATCTGTTTTACAATTTTGATCCATCATTTTTAGAAATAAAAAGACAGAGCTTACTACTTTAAACTATCTTGTGGAAAATCACAGTTTTATAAAATGTTCTGCCGAAAGGTTGAGTTAAGTGTTTTATAAAATGTTTTGCCGAAAGGGTGAGTTTGATGTATTTTAAGTTTGAACAAAAACAACTTATAGTCTGCTTGAAACTCCAAATAATTACTCTAAAAAACTCCAAACTTTGATACAATGAGTATTTTGTTTATAGTTAATTTTCTTTTTCATTACTAGAAGGATTAATTTTATCCCACTGAATTATTAAGAACTGCTTTGCAAAAAAAAAAAAAACATATTAAATTTTCTAACATATTAAAACTTTTCTAGAATTTTTTTTGGTTCTAATGTTAAGTACGAAAATAACAAAATTCACACATATCCGCAAAAATTTCAAAGAAAGTAGTTTCAATGGGTCAGCAATTGCATTTGAGCTGATTAATTAGGCTTCATTATTCTTTGAGACCCTTATTCTTTTGCATAACGAAAATTAAGTAAACGGAGTTTTGTGTAATTGTATGGAAAACATATGAATTTGAGTTACTTCATCATAGACAAAATAAGTCTATTAAAAATGTACACAAAAAAAAGGTTCATGTAAAATCGTAACTAAAGAGGTAAAAAAAATAAAAAGAAAACCCCTGCAATTTCTTAAGTTAATGAACGAACGCACTAAAAAAGCTTAAATATGTATTAAGAATCTTCTGCAGCTATGTTTGTGTACTTGCGAAGACAGCGTCCAACTCTTGAACGTTGACTAAGACAGGCCTCTTTCCGGCGGATTTTTTCCGGCGTTTTTCGATCTTCTTCCGGTGGATGCGTCGACCAGGCGCCGGAGGACACTCAAGCTGCGGCGGAATCCTAAATTGGTCCCCCTTTGGAGTGGTGAATCCATCTTCTTCTCCTTCTTTCTCTTCTTTCTCTTCTTTAGCTTCTTTCTCCTTCTTCGAACTGATCGGAGCTTGAACCGGAACCGTCACTTTAAGTGACTTTCCCGGAGAATCCATGGAGCGATTGATAAGAAAAATCAAACAAGGGAAAGAAAACCTTTGACCTAACCAAAGAAAAGAAAGGGCTTGTTAATTATTTAACTGGTTTTTGCATCTAGATAAGAAAAAGGTAAAATTTCATCTTTACGAGCAAAAAAGGAGAAAAATTTTGGGAGGGAAAAGTTGTTATCTCGGTGGAAAAATAAGGAGAAGATATTTCTTTTTTATCTCGGTAATGGAAAAGAAGAGAAGGTTTGAGTTCAGAACTTCTTTAATTCCCCTGCCTTCTCTCTCTTGAAGAATGGCGAGATGATACTTTCGAATATTTGATTCTGGTGGGACTTTGTTTTTATAATTATTAATTTTATAACGGCGTGTAAAAACTTTATTTAATCAGGATTTGATAATATCTCTTGGTTATTATAATTGAATAAAAATAAAATTAAGAAAAAAACATGATCACGATCCATATTCTTTAGTTTTTTTAATATGAAAAACTAAACAAATTCGTAGAACCTTCTACACCTAATAATTGAATAATTATTTAATTTATAGTTTTACCAAAAACAATTATCAAGATCATATTTCTTCGGTTTCACATTAAATACAGTTTCGGTGTTTTTTTTAAGAAAAAGAAAATAATTCAAAACGATTGTTTTGTTTTTTGGGCAACCATCTAAAAATTATTGAAATTTATGGTAAATTTTGATAGAGAAATATTAGTTTACTTTTATTTGAAACATATAAATGGAATTCAAAAAGGCTAATTACACAGATGATAGTGAGATGTTCATTTTGTGACTGTGTTTGTGTTGTTCCAATAGATACAGAGGTTTGGTTAAGAGCATAAAAAGAGTTTTACAGAGTAGGACCAGTGGCTACAGCTTTTTTAGAGTGTGAACAGACAATAATAATGTCGGGAAGAAGAAGAAGTGTTTCTTTCACATTCTCGAGTAACCAAAGTTATCACCGTACTGAGACATGAACTCATCGTTGAACTTTTTGAAACTACCCATAATCTCTGGCATCTCTTCTTCTGCAGGCAGAATCGTTGTCCTCAGATGAAACACCCTGAAAACAAAAACAAAACCAAAAATGAGATCAAAGAGGTTTGCAAGAAAATGAAAATGTTTGTTTTTTGAGTCAGAAGTTTTTCACTCACCCTTCTTTCTGTCCAAATCCAGAGCCTGGAACTGTAGAGATTCCTGTGGCTTCTAAGAGCTTAAGGCAGTAGAAAACGTCAGGGACTTTTCCGGCTTGTTTCGCTGCTTGGATTGCTTTCGATGGCAACTTTATCTGAGGAAACGAATACATAGCACCTTCCGTGAAATTGCAGACCACGTTTTTGCAGCTGTTGAATCCATCGGTCATGATCCTCGCTCTTCTTCTCAGTGATTCTAGTATTCCTTTGCTGTTAATAAAGTTTTCCATAGAAGTTCTGAGATCTTGATCCTTCATCAAAGCATGTATATTTAAAGTAGAAACATACCTTTCACGAACGAATTGGTCATAAGAAATGTCTCCAGGCTTTGGTGGACTAACCATTAAACCCATCTGCACCAAACAAAAATCATCAAATTCAGCTATGAAACCATTTAGTTAACCAAACAAATACTAAGAGAGCGCTTACAAATATCTGCGCAGAGACGTTGGGACTCAGAGCTATGGATGCAACCTTGTATATCTCCTCAGCGGTCTGCATTTCACCAGAGCTTTAAAAACTAGAAATAACAAAAACAAATAGTTCCAAAAGCAAGAAGGTCATGTACAAACCCGGGGAGGGATATTGGTCATCTCAAAGTAACCACCTCGTTGCCCACATTCACCCCAATATCCTTTAGAAACGGTGTGGAAAGATATGAGCTGAACTTCCTTGCTGATCGGTGCTCCCATATCCATCAAAACCTTTTAGAACAAAGGATCAATCACGCACAAGTTCTAGAGAGTGATGACCACAAAGCAATTGCATAGGCCAGAATGCTTACCTTCTTGGAACTGATAAAGGGATGCTCATCTTGATATATGTTTTGCTGATAAACCTCGTCTCCCAGAAGAACCAAACTCTCATCACAGCAAAAGCGCAAAATCTCTCTCAAGTTAGCTTCACTAAGACACTGGCCAGTTGGGTTTCCGGGGTTAATGATCACCATTGCCCTTACCTGCATTAACCGTGTGTCTTAATAAGGTTATGCTTCAACAGTTTCGAGAGGGAGAGTGGAAGAATAACTCACTGTTATTCCTTGAGAGCGAGCCTGAGCAACAGATTGGCGAAGGTTGTTAACATCAAGTCCCCAGTTGTCAGTCTCTTCAAGATAGTAAGGGACAAGAGTGCCACCTAAGAGAGATATGGTAGCTGAGTAGAGTGGATACTGTGGAACTGGAACTAGAATCTGCCAACCAAGAAACATTGTGACCCAAATGCTAATATAAACCCAGCCTAATTCCATACTATTTGCCACAAATCTGAATTTTAAGCCATCAAGTAATCCCATATAGAGTTGATGTGAGATCATAACATAAGATTTATGCACATGGAGGACACTTTAATTTCAATTTGATATGAGTCAATTCATGATACAACCAAACGCAATGGCTCAATATCCATATGCAAAAGCTTTAGATAAGGGAACAAGCAGAGTTAAGGTTCATTACTCCGTCTTTCTGATCTCGTATGATACAATTCAAGATTTGCATCACACCTTTGCTAGCTCCATCAGTTAGAAATATAAGTTCCGGGTCGCTGTAATTTGAAGATAAGAAGCAAAGTGCCTCAGAATAGTTAAGTTTTACAACAAATTTAGTTGTATACAGAAACAAAATGAAGCAATCACCTTGGATATCCATCACGCCGTTCAATGAACTCAGCTACTTCCTTTCGTACTCCTGGAAGGCCTCTTGAGTCACTGTAAGCACCTGATTATTAAAGCAAAATTGCTTTCTTTACTTGCACAAACCTCAGAAATAAATAGCTGCAGAGACCCATTATCTAACAAAGACATACCAAGACCACCAGAAGTCAAGGAAAGATAATGCTTAGCTCTTGCAATAGCATCTGCTGGGAATATCATCCCAACATTTGGGTTATCTAGCAGAAATGGAGCTTGGCATAGAGCAACCACCTGCATTGGTTTTATTTTTAATCTGTCTAGACTTAAACCTAAGAGCTAGCAAAAAGTATTGTCGGAAGAAAGTATGAGAATTGCATATATATACCTGACGAGGAAATGTCAGAGGCTTCTGTCCTAATGCATGAGGGTTTCCAACATTTGTGAAAATAATCTGTAAATGATTGTGACATTCCATATCCTCAAGTGAATAACAGCAAATGAAATGCTTATTAGTTCGAAAAGGCATAACAAAGCTGAATTACCTTTTTGCCTTCTTTCTGAAGCTCAGAAGCACGGAGATAGAGTTCTCCTCTGACTGCATACTGACAATTCTTCACGTTTTCATTCAGGGACTCGTAGTCTAATGCCTTGAGAGACATTTCCAAGACTTACTTGAATAATCAAAACGCTTTGCTCAATTCAAACCTTATCAACAGCTTCTACAACCAATAATGAGTTTCATTACAATATTGATGAAGTCATAACCGAGAAGGGTCGAGTCATAACCGAGAAGGGTCGACTAATCAAAACAGTGAAGTGGAGCTACACCCTTTATTTGAAGAGGTATCAATGGAACTAAGCGTGTCAGTAACTACAAGAGATGTTTTCAAACAAAAGATTAAATGATCTACTATCTACAACAACGAGATTTGACAGGTTTTCTCGAATCTGTAACGAGAGAACATGCCATCAACTTATTCCCATACAGAAACAGTGAAAATTGCGCAAAAAAAAAAAAAAGTCATCACACACCACTAGATTCGAGTACAAACCCACGTAGAGAGTGAACCCCACAACTCCAAATCCAAAGACGAAATTCCAGAATCGCAAGACACAACCTCAAACTACAGTAAAAAAGTTAAAGGCGATTTTTTTCCAAATGGGTTTTCGAAATTGGACAAAGACAAATTTTATCAATCGAAAGTTGTTGAAATCTTGACTCACCTTTCGACTTAGTTTCGTCACCTCCAAAGTCTCCAGCACAGCAAGAAAGACTTGAGGTGGCACTATTGCATTACTGTTATAATATGAAAAATAAATTAAAAAAAAAATCTTCAGCAGATTACAATTGTGTGTCTGACGTGAATTTGGACACTCGTCAATATGAGATCATTGTGTCAATAGGAGAGCACAAAAAGACGAAGCAGCAGAGCCACTGGAAACGGCCTAAGATAATTTATCAGAAACCAAAACACATTTGTAGCCTTTTGCGAATCGATTTTCTTTTGCTACAATTGAAAACAAAAAAAAAGTTAAAGAAATTGTATGGACTCGTCTTATTTATTTTGCGACATCAACCAATAGAATTATCCCACACTCCCTAGTGTTTTGCTTCGTAATGTCATTCTCCGGACACAAACTCTTTTGTTTCTTTCTCATTGTCCTCAAGACAAAGAGTGTCTCCATCCGAATATTTGAATCCTCGAGTTGAATAGGAATCATATGAAAAATCCACTAACTTGAATGTGCAAGATGAATATTGAACCACTCAAAACAAAAAGAAGAAATAATCAACTTTTTTCTCCAGATTCTGTACATGTTATCCACAGAGAGCCACCACAAGCATTGTTTTATGTGTCCCACTCTGTAAAAGAAAAACACACAGTTTTCAACAACAACAATAGAGAGTTTGCCCACAAAACGAAAACCAAAAGAATCAGACAGGTGTATATGCTTTCTCAATTTCCAGAACGTGTAAATTTGTCAGACTCCAGATTGTTGGAAGGAACTATTTCATCTTGCGTGAGATCTCTATGTAATTCAAAAGTTTATTCAGAGCCTTCCCACTATCAATAGCTTCCTTTGCTCTCTCCATAGCTACAGCTACATCATCTGCACCTTCACATCCCAACAAATGATCCACAATCCCAGCATTTAGGACGATTCTATCATAAGCCGCGCCTTTCTCACCACGAAGCGCTGCCAAACCGAGCTCTATGTTCTTTGATACCTGTTCAATCCAACAAAAAGTATATCCTTTTTTGGGTACCTTTTGTCCAGAATAGTGTCAAAACAAACATGTTTTAAGAGGTTTTACCGAACGATCAGTTCGTGGTGTCTCGGTTGGTTCAAATCCATAGTCTCTAGCATCCACCTCAAGATTGAAACTCTGTCTCGAGACCCCTACAATTCCAAGAGTTACTTTAGCCATAAGTCTTAGGAGCTGAAACAATATTGATGTACCACAAGACAGACTAAAACCAACGGAAAAGGCAGATCAGTTTCACATCACTTAGCATAAGGACCAATTTAAACAACTGACAGCTTTGTATTAGATTACATAGCAATTTAAAACGGCTTTAAGCCGCCAAAAAACTTTGATCACCAAGGCAAAATGGTACATCAAGACTCCATGGCAACCAAATATGAGATAAGCTGATAGTTTTATAAGCCTATTGACTCCTTTACTTTAGTTTGAAACTAGGAATGTTATTTTGGCTATTCTTACCGTCAGCTTCTAGAGCCGTGTCTGAACTCAATGAACGAAACCCAGAACAGTAGTTAACTGGAAACCCTTTTTTTGATGCACTTGCTGCTCGCACCCGTGTTGTCATTGAGAGGGCTCCTTCCTCGCCCTGCATTACCAAAAATTTTATTTATTCCCTGGAATTTCACTGTTCAAGTTCAAAACTTCGAAGTGAAACTAGTTGGAAGAGTTTCTAACAGAGGTCAGGCCCTAATTCTATATTCATGTGCGGAGTAGCTCGTAACAGAGAAAGAGAATCAACCTTAATCACCAAACCAGAATGGACACCTCTTCGTCTCATAAGCATTAAGAGAGGCTCTTCGTATCCTTCGTGGTAAAACCCAGCCACAATTGCTTCCTTCCCTGTCGCCTGCAGTGAAAAACAATCCATGAAACGTCTGAATACAGGCACCTTTTCTCAAGCCCTATGATATCTTTCTCCACTATAATTTGTCTTAATCATCATGAGCTATATAACATCTCGAGCCAATAAAATCTCATAGCATGGAACATAGAAGGCGGCAAGCTGTGATAGATCACTTACCCTCACAAATTGCTGAACTTTCTCCGTTGTTGCCAGAGGAGGGCGCTTCTTTATATGCTCCCTCATTCCGACTACTGAATATCTGCAAATATCAAAGAAAGTTCTTAATATGCTCTTTACCAATGGAAGAACAGAGACAATTACGCATTAATATATCCCTAGTTGTAAGATAACCAAAGTATTGGCTCAGAAAATGTTTCATACAGAGAGGGTCGAGCTTCCCGTAGACTAAGATATGCAAATCCAGCCTTCTCGTCCTGGAGAAAAAACAAAAAATACAAAAACAGGATTTTATAGAGCAAGAAAACCATAGAAATAGGCTGGCAAGAGAAAGATAGACATAGTAGGCACCTCGATGAGTTCTTTTGCCTGCTGAACAGACAATCTTGTATTTGCTCCCATAAAGTTCAGCATTTGTTCCTCAGTTACACCCCCCTGAAGAGGGTAGAAAGAATTGGAGACTTAATCACATAAATCTAAAGCAAATCCTCGATAGCATCATCATATCTAGGAAACTGGTAACACAAAAAAGGATTAAATTTTCGAGAGTAATTAATACCTTTGGAGGCATCCATTCTACGCCATGGAGCACTGAAGATTCACCATAGCAGGCTCTAACTGTAGCTACAAATAGAGTGCTTCGAAAGAATCGAGTGTTCCCATCATAAGGCTCGCCGTAATGGGTTAACGATTTGACATCAGCAACTGGAGAAGCCCCTGAAATTAGTTGAAGATGCTTTAACTCAAGCCAGAACTTTGTACTATCTAAGTTTATATTGTGCGCTTCTATTAAAAAGAGTTTTTTTACCTAGTTCGTCATCAAATGCAAGGCAGTAAGCTTTAAGCTCTCGGTCTGTTTCTCTGTTCATACGTTGACCAATCAAAAACGCCGAAAGCAATGACTCGCTTACTCCCGAAGTCAAGCTATCTTCTGTTGCAAGCGGAAGAACGTCTCTTAAAACACCTTTAACTTCCTCATACCCAAGGTGACCTCCAGCCAAAACCTCTCTTAACGCACCAACCAATCTCATCTCTCTAGTTTCATTGCCAACAAAAGTTGGTCCAACCGAGTTTCCCGAACCCAAAAGAGAGCCTTCAGGATCTGCAATGAAGAGCACATCAGGAGGTAGTGCCCGAACCAGGAGTGGCCAAAACACATCCATCGCTCGCTTTTCACCTTCGCTCCATTGAGTTTCCCCCGGAAATGCATTTGCACGGATCGTCATTCCAGCAAAAAACGCACCAAGTTGCGATTTTGAAACAGGTTCTTCGTCTTTTAGTTCCCCTCTAGCTGCATCCCAGTGAGAAAAGTAAAGAGGCTTATCCAAAAGACCAATAAACAAAGTTGCTAACCAGGAACCAAGAAGCCTATCCAATCCATTCTAGCCTAAATTCTAAATCACACAAACACGAAATTATACAAGCAGAAGGACATAAAGCTTGGAAATTTGGATAAATCTAGCCTTTGACAATTTCATTACTCAAAGATGAATTCACCACCGATTAAGTCAAAATTGGAGAATGAAATGCTTACCTGATCTTAGTATAGTATCAAACACCTTAAAAGCCTGTTCTTCACTGAGGGGTCTTGTCTGAGTCGGCCCGGTGCAAACCCTAGCTTGGGCATCAAGGACGGTAGGGTTTGCCTTGGGAATCGCCGGACTTCGGTAAGTCGAAGAGAGCGCCGGATTCTTAATATCAGATTCCTTAAGTCCCAACTGTTCCATCATTGCTGAGTCCAACACTGCCTTTATCTTCAAACCAACAGCGAGCTTCCGCCGCAACGGACGGCCGTTGCAATCGGTTAAAGGAAACCGGAGACATGAAGAACTCGGTCCGTTCAAGTGGAGAGACCTCTTGATCTGAAACGAAGAGATCGAAGAGACAGAGTATGAAGATTCGGGATTAAGGAGAGCTTTCATCGGATTGTCTCTGTTATCTCGGTGTGGTGTTTGCAGATGACGATGAAGACGGTATAAACATTTTATTACACAAATTTCAGTCAGACCAAGTTGCTAATAAAAAATCTATTTTTCTGGATCAGACACATTCAAGTTCGTATCTTTGTGAGTTTAAGGGGATTAGTCAAATGTTCTTAACTTCTTAATACAAAACTACTCTTATGTAGAGCTCAAGATATTTCTTATTTTGGTAATTCAATTCTTCTTTAGAAAATTTGAAAACCAACGTCTTGTAAGTTGTTTCGGTTCAAGGCCTTCATCTCTCAAAATTGGATCTGTTTTTTCTTTCCCATGTAAAAAGCTTTCCCTTTTGGGGAGAGTTTGAGACCGTTTCCAGGAACTAGATTTGTTCTTTCTACAAAAACTCCTATTAATTTTAAAATACAGCAAAAATAGAGGCAAACTACATTCATCCCAAGAGAGGCTACTGTAAACAGATCATTCCATGTTTGACAATATTCGTACATCTTAACGCAATTACTTGCGTTTCTTCTTACCGCCTCCTTTCTTTCCTTTCTTCTTTCCTTTCTTCTTCCCTTTTTTCTTTATGCCTCCTTCTCCTCCTCCTCCTAGGTTTATCTTACCGTAGCTGCTCGTCTTGTTATCTCTGTCATTGGTTCTTGAAGAACCAGAATGTAGCAAATGCCTAACATCAAGAACACCACCCTTGAAATTCCCTACAGTTGATTTCAGAACTCTATCCTCTGGCTTACGCTTCTTCTCTACGGGTTTCTTTGTACTTCCACCACCAAGCTGTCCTCCAAATCTGCCAAGAATCATATTCTGCAGAACAACCAATGAGATAGTGAGGCTAGTTTCATAATGGATCAGAGGGAACAACGTGATTGACTAATCTAAAAGCTCACCTGTTCCAACATCTTCTCATCTTTTTCTTTCTGTTTCTTCATCTGTACTCGCGCTACACTCAGCGGTAGCCTCTGCTTCTTTTGAGGCTGCAATGACAAACAACAAAAGATATCTCAAGCACTGATTCAGAACAACAAATCATGATCGAAAGAAGAAAAAGGTTTTGATTGCTGCAATACATTCGCAGTGCGAAAAAATCTTACCTTTCCACCAAGTTCAATCACTCTCTTATTCTCCAGTGCTTTCTTATCCTTCCATGTCATATGCGATGACCCTTTATAACATTAAGATCAGGTAATAAGATAAGCATAATGCACTTGACGATTCTTGAAAAGTTATTCAAGTCTACAAATTTCTCGCTTTCCCTTACATCGTAATGCTAAATGCAAAACTTAGCAGCAAAGGCTATGAAAAATTCTACAACTTTAAGTGCGAATAGTCGGTATGCTTCTCTTATCGATCATCAAACCTTGTGTGTATCTAAGATCTACCTGAACCTTTTCTTTAGAGCTTAGCAGAGATAATTATATATACGCATCAAGAGAGAAAAGAGAGAGTTACCAAAGCGCTCAACATCTTTCATAATCGTCCTAAAGCGCAGGTCAGGATCAGTAGCCTCCATGACTTCCTTTTTCGTCTCCTTTGGTTTGCGATTATACATTTTTGGCTTCCAATTATCTGAAAATAGAGAATGAGCATTGAGCTATGCGATTCCATAACTTGAATCCGGTAAGAATTAAACACAATCCAATTCCGAATTCCCAATTTCGAAACCGAAATCATCCTAAGAAGACGGTAATTTAGAGATGCAAGACAAACACCTGAATGCGAAAGCACGACTGGAATAAGAAGATAACCAAAGAAGCTAGCTTGGGAGGAATCTGAAAGAGAGAGAGAACGAGCGGCGATGGAGATTAAAGGGTTTTAGGGCTTCCTAAATCCTATATTCTAAAAAAAAAATGTATATTTAAAATTAACCAACTCGCGATTTGTGTTTTTAATCCTAATTTTTTTTTCGACGATTAGATATTAAATATGGGGATAGTAGATAGATAAAATTAGAAAGATACTTTGGCTCATCAATTCAATTATCTCACATTCCTCAATTGTTAGACCTGATATAACTAGAAATTCAGAATATGGAAATATTTCCTTCTTTCAGAGTATTATCGTCAAGGCACTAATATAGAAAAGTGTTGAGATTTGCAGCTACGATTACCTTTTTTTAGCTGAGTTTGATTTTCGGCTTCGTGGAGATTACTGTGAGACGAGTCTTGTCTTTGAAGTTTAATGGAAACGAAACCATTAGTGAAATTCATAACTCATATAAGCATAAATAGCCATCCGACTCTTTTTTATTTCTTAAAACGTCAAGGCCCATCCTCTTTGTATCGAAGCCCATATATATTCCCAGTGTTGGCCCAAAAGAACTTCATCTTATATAAACGAAGCAAAGTTACATAGATAATAAAGGGCTGTATAGACATAGCGCCTGATCGTCTAGCTCATTTGGTTGGGTGGCTAATTCTACACGTCTCCATCTCATGAGTTCGATCAAAGGTAGGAGAGAGAAAGAAGAAGAAGAGAGATTGTGAAGTGTGGATGTGCTCACATGTATCATGTATCATGTCTATGTATCATTTGAGGTATTCCTAAATACCTCTCTTTTTCCCCTCCTTTTTTCTGAAGTCATCTAAATTTTATTTAAACAATTAAATAAAGACAGACAATGAAAATCATACCAAGGAATAGGATATCAAACCTACATAAATCAAACATGCAGTAAATATTTGGTTTGTGATAAGTGATAAGTTTTTTTTTATTAATTAGTGTCTAAACAAAAATGAAGATTAAAATTACTTGTTAATATTAGTGCAGTTTAAATTTTCATATAAACAGAATCTTGAGTAAAATATTTGTGTCCTATCAATGGTAACTGTAGCATTAAGGGAGTAGATTTAACTGTAACGAGAATTTGGATTTTATGGATTTATTAATCTTTACATCTTATAAACTTTCTAGACGATTAGGTTCAAATAATTAGATAGGTTGTACGCATTAATCTAAAAGAAGAAAAAAGTTCTACACCTTCAAATACTTCATTCATATATAGAAAAGCCCACATACATACAGATAGAGAGCACCTTTTATTGTTTCTACATATTATAGATAACTTTAGGGTAGAGCTAATTAGAAACTAAAAAGTCCTTAATTATAAGGCTTTTTTTTTACAAGCATTAACTATATTAGGCTTTATATAACTTTAGGGTAGAGCTAATTAAGATGCGGTTATTTTAGAGGTCAATGCTTTTAATGAGCTTTCATGTTGGCGAGTCTCTCGAGAAAGACATTGAAAACATCTTCACGACTCAGCATACTGACTCGGACATGCTTCTTGTCAGAACCACAACGTTCTCCTGCTCTGCTCATAACCTTTTGTCTCCTCAAATCACTTACCAGATCCGTCTCTTCCTTCGTCCCCAGCCAAGCAAACGCTGTAACCACATATGTTAAAAAAAAAAAAAACAACCAACAACCGTTACCTCTTATTCAATTTACAAAAATCCAACCGTTACAACAAAAATAAAAACATTCGTTACTTAGTGAAGTAATTAATTACCAGGGTAAGATTCGAGTGTTTTGCCAAAAAAGTTGCAATATGCTTCAGGGTACTTAGGAAGAGCAAAGACATCGCTCTCCTTCACCACTTCACGCAACTTCTCCCACCTGTTCCTCATTATCTCACGACCATACTCGAAGAAATTATCAGATTCGCTCTCACAATTCTCCTTTAGAACTTTGAGAATCTTAGCTGCTCGTATCTGTGACTCCTTAGACACACCAATAGAGTTCACTATTATATACTCTACCATCTTCTTTGCCACCTCCTTGTCCTTCACCAATGCCCACCTTCATCATCCAAAACATATTCAACCCATTATAAATTTTTTTTTGTTATAGTTAAAAACACACTTTTCTATGACATAAAATCTCCTAATAGTGACTTAAGTAACGAGTTCAACAAACTTGTGCATGTGTTTATATAGTTAAACCAAAGAAAATAAAGGAATGATGAATATCTGACCCGATGCGGGACCCAGCGTGGCCTGTGATCTTGGAGAAAGTGAAGAGCATGATGTCATGGTCTTGACGGCGAGTGATGGGAGTGTAGTGGGGCCAGTAATAGGCAAAGTCATGGATCACTTTGCCTTCGTCGTCTTCTGGACGGTTCACCACAGTCTCTCGAATGGTGCCATCAGGGTTATTGGGTGACGTCACAAGCTCGATGTAAGGGCCTTTTTTGTCGAAACCCCAAGCGTCTCCTTCCCACTTGTACATACCCGACCGAACATACGTCGTCTCCTCCACATACGTCTGTGATTAAAATTAAAACAAAAAGAATTGTATTTTTTTAATATTCTTGAAAAAAAAAATGAATTATTACTAGAGAAGAATGGTTTTTGGTAAAAGCGAAAGAAGAAAAAAAAATGGGGACATGAGCATGTTACTGATGTCTTTGCACATGAATCCACGAAAGGGGTATGAGAGAAGGAAAAAGTGTTTTGTAAATTGTTAAATCAAATTGTTTAGGAAGTGGCAGATGTGTGTTGTGTTGTGTTCGAGAAACATGTCTGTCACTGTGTCTTTTAGATCTCCAATCTTTTTTGCTTTGTTACAAGACCCCCCCCCCCCTAAAATCTACACATCAAATCAACTTTTTATTTTTAAAAAACGACTTAGGATTTTAGCTAATGAATAAGACGTAGCTAATGAATCATTTTCAAAGTTCCTTTTATTTGATGTAAAGGACCAAAGGAAAAAAAAAATCAAAATCCTACTTCATTAGTGTTTTTTCTTTTCTTAAATGTATATATATTTATATATATGACATCCTATATAAGTGAAAAATACAACAATTGCTTCTTTGTCGGGTTTACTTTTGGGTAGGCAGTTTTTAAAGATAGATCCAAAGCAAAACCAGAAAAACGGTCAAAAAATTCTGACACTAAAAATTTTTGTTACGTTTATAATTAGGGTTTTTTTATTAAAAAAAAAAAGAAATTACTCCTCTCTAGTACGGATTAGATTAGAATACTAAATAAAATAAAATAAAAATAACACCTAAAGATAGATCTGGACTTGATTCAAATCCCACTCGAATTATAAAAACAATCCGTCACAGATTCAGAATTGTGGTTAGTCTAGCTAAAAACTCGGTTCATTAGTCTAACATATTTTGTTAGTTGGAAAAAATGCTCATAATTAAATAATGTGAATTAAAAAAAATCCATGTCAACGGAAAAAACGAAGAAACTATATAAATAAAATTAAAAAAAAAACGAGAAAAAAAGATACGAGATACGAGGAGGAAGAGAGGAGAGAGTTTAGTGGTGGGGGCTGCTTACGGAGTAAAAAGGAGCAGCAGCGACGACACTGACAGGATGGGACCCAGCGAGTGAAGACAGTGCGTGGACGGCCGCTTGACAAAGCTGCGTCGAGCCAGTCCCGACCACTATGTATCGATCCTCCGTCGCTGCGTTTCCGACCGCACCGTGCAACTCTTTGATCGCTTCCGCTAGCTCCGGCTCAAGAAACCAACACAGGTTGTTCACGTCGCTGAAGTAACTCATCAGATCCCATCCACGTATCGTCACCGTACACCTGTCTCCCATCTTCCTCCAGTATTCTTCGTACGCCGTTGGATCTCCACTGCAACCAACAATTTTTATTTATCAAAAAAAAAACAAATTTCAGAAACTGATTCGTTAGTGAAAAACGGAGATTTTATATAAAAAAAAAAAATTGGAGCCGATGATCTTGCAATGCGGTTAAGGGTTTTTGTGAAATTTAAAGACGTACTGGTCCAGGTTGATGATGGAATCGGACAAGGCGATGTTCTTCGAGTTCTCCACTTTCACCATCTTCTTCTTCTCGGTTTTGATGTTATAATTTTTTTGCTTCGTTTGTAACAGTGTTTAATGATTAGAGAATAGTGTAGGTTTGAGTGTATTTATAGGAGGAAAGCGATATCTATTATTTTATTATTTAACTTTTTTAAAAAAAAAAAACAGCTTTTTAAATGGGAAAATATTGAACTTTAAATTATTTACTCTTTTTTGTTCAAAAATAATGAACGAAAAAATAATTCATACTTTTTAGGGTTAATAATATATCGTACTTTTATGGAAAATCAAATTAATTTATTAGTAAAATTTAGCAAATAGTAACACCTAGGTGCTGGTTTACAAATGAGAAATGGCAATAAAAAGCAAGAAATCTTATTAAAAAGATAGTAGAATTTTGCATTTGCTATAATATCAACAGAAAATCTAAACATATTACAAGTCATATTTTATCATTGGCAGGGCAACTCAAGAGAAAATCTAATTACTGTATCAGCAATATAAAACATATGAGATTAGCATGACAAACGACTCTATATGTAAATATATAAATGATTATAATAGATAACAATATTTACAACGCACGTAAATTGAGGTTTTACCAGCACCACTATAACCACTGGAAAAACTTGCATCCATAATTTGTTAAAAGTTGAATTCTCCGATGGTAAAAATTATTGAACATTTAATCAACTACTAAATTGAAAATTTTCTCAAAATTATTTATTTTCTCAAGATTTATTTTTGAGTTAAAAAAAATTATGGTTGAAAAAGATTCAAACCTGGGAGATGTAATATGATTGGAGATGCTGCAACTGACATATTTCTGCAAATAATAAATTTGGTTTTGATATCTATCAAATATGTAATCATAACAATGTATAGACTTATTATATATCCCTCTGTGTTTTTTTAATTAATAATGTTTTAGGATATTTTTTCTTTCCAAAAAGTGATGTTTTTAACTTTTAATGTAACTTAAATAAATTTTTAATTATTTTAATTTTTTTATATTCTTTAGGTTATTTTATCTTCTGT